ATAACCTTGCATATCTGAGACAAATGCGATTGAATACAATTGTTATATATTTCTTTTTAACGCATGATGTCATTCGGCAACAGGCATTGGCTCGGACGGTCTGAGCATAATCAACACGCCCTCCGTCTTGCCGTGTTATGTGGGTCATCAATGACAATAGATTATGGCTATAAATATACGTTTCAACCGTTCGCTGCGGTTTTCGCAACATCTTCAATGTTTACGCAAAAGCTCCAGGTCGAAATAACAAATGATTCACCTAGTCAGTAAGGTTTCTATGTTATTTCATCATCATTTAGTAAAGGGTATTCAATTTTCGTGTCTGCATTTTTTCTGTTATTATAATTTTGGCTTATTTGTAATTAAAAATAACACTACCATCGCGAGGGAGACAAGCGGTCTTCTGCTGTTATAAGAATGGACTTGCAAAAGTACCAAAGATTTACAGAAGTAAAGAAAATGTATTTATACTTTTGCATTATGTCTAGTTATTAAACTATTTGGAGCCCAGCCTTAAAGGTTTTGCAACATAGCTACTACCTTACGGGTGTTGTTGATGCCCGTTGTCGGTGGTAATGACTTAGCATCAGGTGAACTGTTTCCCCATTTGTCAAATTTTATCATGAAACACTGGGCATTATTCTTATGGGATTTCCTTAAATTGATATTAATATTACTTCGTTGTTAAATGTTACCTTTTAGTCTTTTTTGTATACTTTGATATAAAGTTAAACTGTGTCGCAAAGGATACATATATATTTATATATAAGAAACAGGTTGACCTTGCGGGTAGGTAGTGCGTCAACCCTGGCTTCGACGAAAAAGTAGAGCTTAAATATTGTGTTGTACCGTTAGGCGCCATTTGCTTTGTCCTCTGTTGGCGAAATCCTGCAATAATGTTAGATCAATAATGTCACTCGTTTAATGGGACGTTTTCACTCGTTTGACTACAAACGAGGCAACTGGTTTCCACAAAACTTTTGTGTAATGAGATGTTATCATGCACACATTGGAGACAAGTTCAGTCAATGTTTCTATTTGGCAAGATATAGTTAATTAGGGAGTAAGGTCATTAGATAGTTATTAGTGGAAAAGAGTCGGCACAATTATTAGTTTAATCAAAAAAACGACGCATTGTCCATTAAGTCTAAGAACTTCTTTAAAACAACGAAGTTCTTTGCCATTTTAACCACGTGTGCTTACACAATGTTTTTACGAATCATCCATCAAACTTTCTCTCTTCGACGTAATTATTGCACGAAGATAGATATTAAAAGCTTTTAAATACATTTAAATAACATTAAAATGTATTAACATTTCTTACTTTCGTTACTTTCAAAATTTGGCAACATTAATAGAAACACTTAAATAGTTTTAGTTGACTTTAAATATAAAGTCAAAGTTTAGTTAACTTTAAAATTTCGTAGTTTTCAATCAATTCAATGCGTCCTCCAGGATACGAGCCCGACGGAGTAGCGTATGCCGTTTAGATCAGTTGCTAGTACATTAGGCGTTTTAAGTGCAGAGAAAAGCACTATAAAATAATATAATTAAAAAAGCAGTGTTATTTGCTTGAATCCTACTGTCAGGGGCGTAGAGCCGGTACATTCAATCCTTAGCACGTTATTACAAATGCGCTATTGGTATATAGTTTTTGCAAAAAAAAAGCAGATAACAATGACATTAAATGTCACTATAACGACCGTTGACGGTGCTTGCAGATCGTTGATGGATTTAGAACTGCTCTCGGCGGTTCACCGCAGCGGCGGCATATTTCAAAACTTTTATGTTCACAAAACGTTTTAAAAGTAATTCTGAGAACAAATGCCGTTACCATTTTGACCCCGCCTGCTGTAAATTTGATAGTAAATTCTGTATCTGAAATATCAGTATGAAAATGAAAGTCGATCTTACTAATATGCGTATAATAAAACAATTGAAACACGTATTATTAATCGTTAATAACTAGATAGAGAGCCTAATCGGCTGTTAGTTAAAATCGAAAATGTTTTCCTTTACCTGGCTAAAAACATTTTTTTTAATGACTGAAATTAAGACGCTATCTTTATTTTCGGCCACGCGCGCTTTCTAAACACATGGCGTCTTAAATCGGCATACGGATGAGGATTAGCTCGAAGATTAGTGTTGACATTATCGTATTAGCATGACGATCATGCACGGGAGTACCGTACCCGCTGTGCTGTTAACAGCTTGCCAGTCACGTGCCCATGATGAGCGGTTCGTTATACGCTATTTATAACAGCCGGTGTTTATTAAAGGCGTTAACCTCGGCGTTATCCGTTTATTTCAAAGTGAAGATTGCTCGCGGTTACGTGATGTTCTGTTTTGATATTTTCAATTCAATTTTAATTTTTTTTTCTTGAATAAATTAATATTAAGAATGACATTGGTAAATATTTATAGGTCCAGGAAAACTGTAATAAGTTTAAGAACTCTTTTTTGAATTATTTTTTTTCTTCAATAAATAAACTGTACTTAATTTGCATGAATTTAAGTTCACGTCATTTTTTTTTTATTTTATGAATGTTCTCTTTGATTTTTCATTTTTGTTAAAATTTTTCAAATTTTATTTTTAGCATTTTTGTCGACATAGGACATCTGTATTTTATTTGTAGCTATATATACTACTTACACACGGCGAAACACAGATCAGAAATGATTATCTACCAGCAAATTATTCAAAATTTTATAAAGCATCTCGCTGAGACGCGCGCTATCGTGAACGGATTTCTGGAATACGCTATTATTTAGAAGTTTTTTATCAGCTTTCCAAATTAGAATTGCAACGAATTTGTAAATTAAATTTGAAATCAATTCCGCGAGATTGTTCGCGTAAAGTATACCGTACAATCTTTAACGACGGCAATAACCAAAACTTCGTTAATGCGACTGGAACGGAACGTTAATGCTTTTTTAATTCGCGCGCTTTTGACTCACGCGTGAGACACCATAATGGATGCTATTACGATGAATGATTCACTAATTGAATGATTTTTTTCTATTCATATGTATAATTCTTGTAACCGATGAAGACGCAAAATTCATTAGGCTTAAAAGTCGCGGATGTTGAAGTTTAAGAAGTTAACAATTTAGCGGCCCTGTTGAGAGGGACGACTCGAGATGCTCTCAGGTCAATTGGGGTATGACCTTGAAGAACGGGGCCATTGCGTCCATTAAGGAGAACAAATGTTTATGAAATGTGTTGTCGTCAACGGAATTTTCCGACTGACGTGATTTGGGAACATTTATGAGGAGAGCCTTTCCTCACTTTTCTGGTGTGAAGACTGATGTCTTGATCTCGTACCAGTCCAGGTCGTTATAGTGAAACTTATACCTGCTAATGAAAATTGTGTAATTGTACTACAAAAAAAAAACATTTATGTAATCGCGATTAAATCCGTGTTGTTATTAGATAAGATAGGAAAATCGTTTATTTGGTATCACAATATTATGTAACAATATTGCCAGGAGTCCCCGCACTAGGCTTCGTCTGTAAGAAAGTAAACTAGTACAAAGGTAACATTTTGTTTAATTTTTTACGGTGGTAGGGCCACGCAGCAGCCTCGGCTGTTGCACGAATGGGCAGGCCCGTCCGGGTAAGTACCACGACCTCACAGAAGACCGGCGTAAAGTGGAAGTATGACAAATACTTTCGCGTTTCGTCTGGTGAGTGAGGTAGCCGGAGCCCAATTTTCAAAAGGTTGTCAACGCATCTGTAACCCTCGAGTGTAGCAGATGTCCATGGGCGGCGGTATTCACTTAACATCAGGTGAACCGTCTGCTCGTTTGACAACTTTTCGCATAAAAAAAAAAAAACAAAAGAAACTTTAAAAAAAGGTTAAAAGAAATGTGTAAGTTAGGTGACACTACCTAGGGACTTTACTCTGTTTCAGCGTAGTAGAGAGAAGCAATTTTAACCATAGTTCTTTTTGCTGTTTGTTTTGTGGTAAATTGATAATGCGTCAGAGTTTTAGTATTTCATAGAATTGAATAATTTTTAATTAAGTGATTCATAACGAGTTGACAATATTTTATTTTTAAAAACCATTACTGCAACCGTGATATAAAAAAATAAGCTGAGATGAGAGCAAACATGCTGAACCGCGCTGACTAAACTAAATACATCAAATTAATGTAATAAATAGATAAATATAAAAAGTTTGTTGATCTACGACTGGTTACAATATTCGTAGTTGTGTGGTCGTAAGTAGAGGTGGGAGAATGTAATCCAAAACATTTCCGGTGTGCGATCGTCGAAGGCTGAACGCGTAAGCGATTGAAATAGGTATATGACGCTGAAGGCTTTTTTATGCAACTATTGTGCGTAGTCAACTCAAACTCATTTAATCTATATATTAATATGATTAAGATAACGCATGCTATGCAAGTTTTATCGAGCGGAATATTTAATCGTTCACAAATCCTTTATGTATATATTTCGTAAAATGTAAAGTTGTTGGGCACGTCAACCGTCAGATAGCTTAATTATTTTACCATAGCTGATGAAAGTATCCCTCAACTCCACTCTATTGAAAAGCTTTGACACACTTCCTCTCCAATATTAACAACTCATTTTTTACGGCAGATGAGTTAATTAGGTGATAATTACAATCAAACCATTGTGTGAATTACGCTTTTTGCTTCACAAATGAGTTACTTACTGAAAAAAACTGTTCCGCTAGTAAATTCTATAGTAAATTAATCTATTGAGATTTAAAAATAACGAGAGTTTTTTTTACAGTAAACTCAATTTTATATAGGAAGATTTTTATGTTGCAACAAACATCAGCCGCTGATTATCTTAAACAATAACAAAGAGATTGCGTTCGCAATAACTTTACTATATGAACAAAATTCTTGCATTGTGTTAATTAATTTGGTCAATTAAAGTGCTGCAAAACGTCCTCGAAATATAATTGCGATGTTTTCAAAGTTATTACATATTTAGTAAATATAATGTTTTGTACTTTTCTTTGCAGTTAACTGAAGAAGTGCAGAGGAAACAGAGCGAATATCAAAAGTGCCTAGAGTCCTATAAACAGATGAGGGCTAAGTTTGAAGAGAACTACCTTAAATGTAAGTGTAAGTTTAATTTTTTTTGTTTTTATTTCTGATAAGATTGAGATGATTTCGTATGAGACCGTTAAACCTTTACTTCACAACATTTTTTAATTAGCATAACGTAAGTTTTTATTAAAAAATGTGATTAACTATTTAGGAAAATTTATGTATAACATGGAGACATTCTTCAGACGCGATTTGAACATTTAGATAAAGATTTGTTCTTAATTAATTAATCAACGTTTTAAACACGTTAAACTCTTGGCGTAAACTTTAACAGTAATCATTATATATTACATAGATAATGCAGATAACAGAATACACACTAGACGGCGTAAAGCATTGTTTAAAAAATACAGTAAAAAAAAAAAAAGATGAGAAAGATGTCGAGATTTTCGCACTGTGATGTCTTCGGCCGCTTCGCCTTGTTAATAAAGAGTCTGGGCGCACCGTACTCGCAAGACGCAGGTTTGAATCCCGCAGCCTCGAAAGTTTTGACTAAATTATCAACAAACATTTTAAGTTGCATTACGAGCGCAGAGTGAAAAGATTAGCACTAAACAGAAAATTAACCATAAATTTCAATATCAACGGCGACATATCTCGTTTTAAATTCATTGTAAAATTTAGATGAAAGGTGTTTCATGCTATTAGGAACACACGCTAGATGGCGCTTAGCATTGATAAAAAGCAATTAAGAGACTAAGTATAATTATGTAAATAGTCGATATTTTGGCGCGGTGAGGTCTACAGCCCAGTACCATCGTTAGCGGGGTCACGGGGCCCCGCATGGCGTACGTATTCGCTTAGGCTTAAACTATAGAATTTTTTCAATTCAAATTTTAATATAATGGCTTCATCAGGGAATAACTGGATGATTCTGCCAATGTTAAGGTTGAATAAAACAGTAAAAAATGAGATTTGCCGGTAACATTGGCTTGTGTACGGTAGGTAGATATTACGCGCATCCAGTTGAGTTACCTGAACAAAGGACAAACAATGGATTAGTGTATAAATAGTTTGATATAATAAATCAGAACAGCTAAATGTTAAAGACAATACAAAGATCACATGATTAAGACAACAATACAGTAGGGGGAAAATATAAAAAGTTTAGAAATTTTTCTCTATTTTTGGTTGATATATTCCGACAGAAGTTTATAGAGTATATAAAAAACGTAAGATAATGAAAAGGTAGAAACATGTTTTTGTCATTCACTTTTTTTACTTTCCCTCAGGGCCCCAAATTTGTGTGCCCTAGGGCCCTCATATAGCCTAAGACAGCATTGCTACAGCCGCTTACTTTAGTTGGTAAAGCGTCTGGACGCGTTTTGAATCCGAAAGTTGTTCACCATCTATAAAAATTAACATTTTAAATTAAAATAGCTTTCTAAATAATCCGCATGTGCATCTAATGCCGAATCTGCATGTAATGCCGCAAATATATATTTTAATGGTTTTATGTTCGATGTTAGAATGGAGGCAGCTATAAATCTCAGATAATCGAGCCATCGACGTACATCCTGAGCGTTGTTTGGCATTCGCATCCTTGACAAAAATTTATGAGGCGTTAGAAACAGCGATCAAACATTGACCTTCTTGCGATTTGTGCTGCGTGCTTTAAGAGAACTAGCATAGCATACAGTGTTATATAACCTGTTTGACCTATAAGGAACTACAATTTTAAAAAATAACGTCATAAATATAATTTTACAACAAATTAATCATTTCTTTAATCCATCCTAATTAAATTCGTAAAACAACAAACATCTTTTTTCTCTCCGTGACGTAACCATGGATGCTGTAGTTTTCGAAACGTTGAGAATTAAAGGCTTAAACTAAACTAGTCACAACGAACAACAACTATATAATGATAATGGTCTGGAAATTAATTTTCGCGATTCATTCCTTTATTTAATATTTATTTCATTATAAATTGATATTTATGTAATAAATAATCATTTAACATTTTTTTTTAAAAAATTAGTAACAAGAATTTGCGTTAAACTTGTTTATTGTAATCTTTATTCTAATAGTGATGTTCTATGAATACTGAACAATTATATATTTACACCCTGCTTATTGGAAATGAGTTCCATTACTGTATGTTTCCTTTGATCATTTATTGATAAGGCCGACACATTGAAAGCTTTCATTGAAACTTTCGTTTTCTGTAGAAGAATTTGAGTATTTTTCATTTTTAACACAAAGTCGAAGGAAGTTGATCGCTGGAGTTTTCCTCTTCATTCACCCCGACGTTCTGAAAAGTGTACCCGATTTCAGTATCCATAAAATCCTATTCAAATAACAATTTTTCTAATTAAATAAACAGTGCACCGTGAAGTGCTGGCTTTGAGAAGACATTTTTTTTAAAAAGAAACGTTTCATTACTTCGTTAATTGTTTCCACCTGATGTTAAGTGATAACGGCCGTCCATTGACATTTGCAACACCCGTAGCAGGTAGCAGATGCGTTGCTATATTTTAATAAGGTGGGCCCCGGCTACCTCACACACCAGACAAAACGCGGAGGTGGTACTTAACCGGACGGACCTACCTGAGAACCCCACGAAGACTGTTGCGTGGCTCTATCACAGTTAAACGCTTTCTTTGTCTTACTTTTAATCTCTTCTCCTGATTTTATCCTACCTAGCTGGGGTGCACACAGCATGCGAATCACGTTGTTAATCGTCCTGATTAGGTATTTTTACAACCGGCCGCCTGCCTGACATGAACAGTCCTGTGAATAAACACACAGATCTGGAACAATTATATGTGGATCACAAACATTTATCCCGTGTGGGAAAACGAACCAGCGACCCCCGGAGCCGAAGCTAATATCTTAGCTTCACCAAATCAGTTCTTTTAATCCTTAAGGGATGGATATTGAGTAAGAAGTGTACGATGCTAACAGAAGTTTGGCCACAGACCAACAAGGTGTGTAGCTTTTCGATTACGTCTGGAAGAATACAGAGACGGACAGAAATAGTTTCATTTTGTCTACACACGATCACAACATCAAGGTGTTGTAAACTTAAGACTACGAACATACAACAGACGGACAGAAATACTTTCATTATACTGGTCCATTTGACCATGAATATCTTGGAATAGCCTGTGGCGTACAAGGCGTCGTTATTAAGAGGAAGAACTGGAAGAGATTGCTATGAAGCGATAAGGCCGCCAAATTGTACATTGCATAAATTTGTTGTTCTATTGTTACTTTTATGTATATTCCTATTTGTGGTGGACAATAAAAGTGTATTCATTATTCATTCATTCATTCATTCATTCATTCATTCAAGAACGCAAGAAATTGCATTAATTAGTGATAACGACGTCAGAAGTTGGATACGACGCTTGTTGGATAGGACGTTATCGGGGAACGTGCGACATTTCATTGCCATCCTGGCGCCACTGGTGCATTATCAGTTCCGCTGCAGAACAGTTTATCTCAACCTACCCGGACCGACCGTGCGTTGAATCGTGAATCGATAGGTCTGCATATTCGTTATGCTGAAACGTATAGTCGGTAATACATTTGTTAGTGATTCGAAATAATACACAAATTTCGCTATTGCTATAATGAAAGCCGCTTTTTGTGGGAAACAAATGTTAATATTATGTAATTTTCAGATACGACTAAAATCGACGATTTTGTAATCGGGTGTCGTGAAAATAACTAACCAGTTATGTCATGTAAGATCACGAATTACTTTCACTATATTATATGTTAACGTTTCGAGTTCTTAGTATTTTTTTTTTCATTCAAAACTACTGTGCGAAAAATACCCATGGACTACAACCTCGTTTTACTCACTTTGCGGGTCCGCTTCGTGCCATCAAAATTGACTGATGACCGACGACTGTATAATTCAGTTCAAACAGAGGCTTGACAAAGTTTTTGAAATGACGAGTAACCAAAAAAACAAATGACAACTATTTTTAATTATTTTCCTAATGAATATCTAGCAAGCATTTACTGTGCCAGGGCTATGTGAATCGCTTAAAAATTTGTTATCCTAAGCTGCTTAAAGACTCGATATTAGACAACTTTCCGTACACATGTTAGTTTTTCAAGTATCCTTATTATTTGTACTAAGATTATATTTGCACACATATAAGATATCTTGTATAACTATAGTTGCCGATAGCTCTGTAACCGGGAGGGCAGGTAAAATTCAATATGCTATGGAGACCTATGACCAAATTAGGCCATATATAGGCTTTTTTTTTGCATTATGTAAGTTTTGTTAACAACTTGTATCTTGGAAGCTCTCGGGGCTGATTCGAGATTGTTTCGCTTAAAACCGTGTGTTTCATGGTTTAAGCAACAACAAAATCCAACTGCAACTAATAATCTGCGTAGTGATTAGTCTGTACGGATGGCTTAACTGGCTTCCTTGTTAACAGCCGTTGCTCGTCGTGTCGCGAGTTCGAACACTGGGTAAAAACCGGCCAAGTAAGAGTCGGACTCGCACACTAAGGATTACGTACCATTTATCTACGATGGTACGGAGTCCTTCGTGTTCGTCCTTCGAGTGTTGTATGGGAGCCTCACTTAAATATTTTTTACTCTGTTTTTTAGTATTTGTTATTATAGCCGCTACATCATCTGTGACAATTTTCTACTGTCTATATACGGTTCATGATAAACAGCCTACTACAAACAGACAGCGAAGTCTTAGTAATAGGGTCCCGTTTTATCCTTTGGGTATGGAACCCTAAAAACTTTCGGTACAAATAGCAGTTATACCGAGTGCTTTGCGGCGTGTTTTATATAATAGTAAGATAATCTTTTTTACTATCGCTGGATTGACCTCATGTTGAACAAATATATGAAAAAGCAAACACCATTAAACTGTAACGTTATATTTACAAATATATATTCTCTTTAACCTACTCTCGACTCGATTATAACTCGTCTCTGCAATAGACTGCAATGGAAATGGCCCCGGAGCCTTGTAATTAGACTTGCACTTACTGACAAGATTTACCGTATATTCTAGGAGACACTTACGTGTTCATATCCAAACCCCTCAATTCAGACTGTAAATAGCCAAGTAACATAGCAATAAGCCGGGCTTCCGTAATACCTTTGATTACAAAGCATGTTTACAGCAATTAGAGAGCTGATTTGCTTTAAAGTATAAAGACATAGAAGCCGAAGATCAAGTTTCGATAGACATTTACTCACATAAAGAGAGCTGTAATAGTTAAAATCTTGTTTATTTGTCTATGCGTTAGCAATCAAAGATTCTATCTAGTCTTATGCGTAAAGGGTTCGTACATTAGCGTTAAAAGGCAGGTTCTATAATACTTATTATAAAATACCGACTTATTTATAAATATTGATGTTCTTTGCCAACTCGAAATAACTAACTCGTTGCGATTGTCAGATATTGCATGTCCATATTAAATTTTAACACTAGTATAATACAGTCTTTCAGTTAAATATTAGACTTTTCAATTTAGCTTTCTAGAGTAAGTTTACTCTCCAATCTATACTTCCAATAATAAAAAATATATATAAATATCCATGACAAATATAAGAGACGCCCTCATTAATTTGTATTTGTATTTATTAAAGACAGTGTACGTGGTTCACAAGGCCAGTGAGAAAATAACCATGATACCGTAATAACTGAAATAGTGATGAGTTATCCGCGAAATAATTATATCTCTCTAGAGAACTCTCGGACATTTGTACACTGTTAAAACTGCTTGAGTTATAATTGAAATTCAGGTGACTGTCAGTAATTGCATAATAAAAATAGTTAAAAAACACGCTTCTGTAGATTACCGAACTAAAAAGTAGAAAATAATTTTCAATAAATTTAAATTAAGAATAGTGAGAAGAAAAATTGATACATTCATAACAAAAAAAATATTGGTAAAAATAGAGTCATTATGGAATTATCTTAAAAACTATAAGGCCTGAGTACATTTAGTTTAGTAATAAACTCATCGACGTAGTTGCTATTGGGGTATCCTTTTTTTATGGAGAAAAGGGGCAAACGAGCAGGAGGCTCACCTGATGGTAAGTGATTACCGCCATCCATGAACACCTGCAATACCCGAGGGCTTACAAATGCGTTGCCAGCCTTTTAGAAAAGTGTATGCTCTCTTCTTGAAGGTTCCCAAGTCGTAACGGTTCGGAAAGACCGCCGGCGGCAGCTGGTTCCACAGAGTTGTTGTGCGAGGCAGGAAATGCCTTGAAAATCGCGCTGTTGTGGAACGCTGGACATCGAGGGGGTGTAGATGAAATTTTTGGTTCTGGTGCGATGTCCGATAGTGGAATTCAGCCGTCGGGATCAATCCAAACAATTCCTCGGAACACTCCGCGTGATAAATGCGGTAGAAGATGCAGAGTGATCCATCATCTCTACGCAGAACCAAAGGATCAACCTGATCAGAAAGACTTTGATCGTTGATAACCCTAGCCGCCCTACGTGGAATGAGGTCAAATGGAAGATTTAATAAATTAAAATTTAATCAATCCTTAAATTCAATCGTCGACAACGGTGTATCACGAAGATCTTGGTACCCGGATACCCGTCTACATCACCAGTTAACCTTAGGAAAGTGAATCAAATAAGTTGAACGCTTCAAAGTTTTCCTTCTCTGCCGAAATAAGAGGTTCACCCTAATCAATCGTTACAGGTCCGACGAGCCGGGGCGGGCGGAAGCTGGACGAGACGCGAGACAAGTACAGCAAGGCGTGCCGGCGTCTGCATCGGGCGCACAATGAGTACGTGCTCCTGTTGGCAGAGGCCACTGAGTGCGAGAGAGCGCTCCGCACCGCCGCCCTCCCCTCTTTGCTGGACCAGCAAAGGCGGCAAGGGGAGGCGACAGCCGCCTCGTGGTAAGCTGTTCCTTGATTGGACCCTTTATAGACGACTCCGTGGCACAGTTGCCGAGGCATAGGCTTCCGCGTTGGTACTTGTGGGTTCGATTCTTACACGGGACAACTATTTGTGTGACCCATAGATAATTGTCTCGCATCTGGGTGTTTGTCCACGTGAAATATGTATTGTAAAACGTCCTTACGACACAGAGACAGGATAATGTTATCGTAAAGTAAGGTCAATGTTTTTAATATATATATATATCACCAATGAAGTTTTTAACTTTAAGTGCTGACTTATCGCGTGCTCCGCGGTGAAGGAAAACATCGTGAGGAAACCTGCATATTTTCGAAATAATAACAAAAAAAACATATTTCGAAGATATGTGAAGTCCGCCAATCCGCAGTGGGGCTGCGTGGTGGAATATGCCCTGATACCCTCTGTATTGAGGAGGCCTTTGCCCAACAGTGGGACATGTATAGGCTGTTACTTTACTTTACTATATATATATATATATATTTAAGCTCTTTTTATAGTTTTGTCACTTGAACGTTTATCGCACTACAATAACTAGATATACGGGCGTATTTTAGGTGCTAGCAAAGTGAAGTGCCGTCTCGTATAAACGAATACATTGTAGGAATGTTATCCCAACCGATCCTACACAGATGTGATTTTGTTATCAACCTACAATAATATGATTGAAACACAAAGAATATCATTTATTAAAAATAATTGATCAAGTAGCAGCTATACATATATAATTTAATCTATATAGCGTCTAACGTCTATAAAATTTACAGTTTTTGATGAAAACTAGACGATTATTTAGATTTTAGCTTGGCAACTGGTCATATTCTAAGTGACTATTTTTTAGTAAATGAGGAAGGAGAATTTGTTATTCAAACAAGGATAACACAAAAAATACTTCACTATTATTACGCAATCTGTTAGTTGCGTTAAAAAATTTGCTAATATGCTTCTTTTTTTGTATAATATATATTCTATAGTACAATAAATTTAATTTTAAGTTTGATCGTCTTGTGTCAATTATTATCGTTATTGAGTGGAATAATGAATTGATTGCAAACACGGCCAAGGGTGCTAATTAACATGACCGTTGTAATTTTACGCTGTCGATAGATTGTTACATTATGATTACGTAATCCTTCGGATTAGTAGCAAATGTATGAGAATAATCGATAACTATAGTTAAATAGATTAGGAAGAAATTTTCATGACAGGCAGCCTCGTACATCCATCGCAGTGTAGGACGACCCCTCACTAGATAGAGTGACGACCTGTGCAAATGTGCGGGTAGTCGATGGATGCGGATAGCTCAGGATCGTGCTTTGTGGCAGTTTGTGTGGGAGGCCTATGTTCAACAGTGGACTTAAACAGGCTGAAATGATGATGACGAAATAATCGCAGTACGTTTGACTTCTTAAATAATGATTTATAACCATCACAAACATTGAGTTACTTTCAAACGCTGCTCCTAAAATGTACTGATGAGCTAACGAGATAATGGTTGTTGTTTGTCTGTTTTTCAGTCAAATTTCTTTTTTGTAATACATTGCGAGCTAAACTGATATATAACTCGCGCAGTAAGGGTTCCGTACCATTGTCTATAAAAACGGTAAAAAAATCATGTTTGTTGTATGGTGGCCCCACTTAAATATTTTTTATATTGTTTTTTGTATTTGTTGTTATTGAGGCAACAGGTATACATTAACTGTGAAAATTTCAATTGTCTAACTGGCACGGTTCATGAGATACAGCGTGGTGACAGACGGACAGACATGCAGGCAGACAGACAGACAGACAGACAGGCAGTGGAGTCTTAGTAACAGGGTCCCGTTTTACCTTTTGGGTACGAAACCCTAAAAAGGCGACGGCTACTGAGCTGGAAGGTTGAAGCGTTTCCGTGAATTATATTTTACACAAACCTTAGTTACTCATTGACCGCAAGACGAACAAATGCATATAGTGTTTCAAGTTTTATCGCATTATAGTTGGGTTCGGTAATGTAATCGCGTAAAACGAAACGGTACGATTACGTAGAAGGTTTTCCCGTCGGTCGAAACGAAAAACTTACGCATCTTTATGCAAATTAAGTTCTTTATTTTATAAGTTGAATAGATTAAATTAATGTCCGATTATAACTATACACAATAAATATGCAATTAAATCTCTTTGCAATATTCCGTTTGTTCACGAGTCCGCGTTAATTTGTAGCTTTTTGTAGGCTATTATTTTTTGTGGTGATAAATTTAATACGAAAAACTACCGTATACTACCGAATGGTTCTTTGTTGTCGTATATTTTTAATTAAATCAATTTAATTATTCGTCTGGATTTAAATTCTTCCGGTTTAGTAAAATAACGAAATAGTTCATAAGGGTTCTTGTTGTATTAGTATTTGTTTTGAGCTAATTTTAATGTTTTGTACATAGTTTACTTACGTATTTATTTTATAGTTATGTACTCAACTCATAGATTATTTAGTAACATTAGATTTTTTAACATTATTGTAATAAGTCAATTCATTGTTACATACTCCTTTCCTGGTTTGTAAGAAATCAAATCATTTTTTTTTTTTTTGCACTAAATATTAGCGACTTGGGGCTGAGAAGCCTTTTTACTTGTAAGTAAAAAAGCTTCTCAGCCCCAAGTAGAAATTTTGAAAATGGCTTTACTTTTATAATTATCAGAGGCTACTTCAACATTTCATATCAAAAAAGTTTAAAAGTAAAATAAATAAAAACCAACATGACTGTTCTGATATGAGGCTATTAGACTGACTTATATTAAAAACACTGTATGAATAAAAGAACAATGGAAAAATACACTACTGGGATAAGAACCCACATCATCGCGTGTTTGGAGTGGGTTGGGTTGTTATCCTATGGGCTATTAAAGAATCTGCGTTGTATGACGTGAACATAACATTGCTTATCTTTAAGAAAATTGTTCGAAAGTTTACACTGTGTGTCTTTTGCGCTTAACAGGAAGGCGATACTCCTTGAGGTGGTGCAACGGTCGGACTTCAGCACGGACAAGTTCAGGGAGATCCAGAGCAAAGTTGAGTCCACCGTACAGAATCTCAAGCCGCAGGACGAGTACAAAGAGTTCATGGAGAAATACAAGTAAGGATACCAACACAACAAATAATGAAATACAGGTTGGGGGGGAAATTCTTTTTAAAGGATACTTGGACACGTTATTTCACTTTTACTTTAGATGATGTTTTTACTTTGAGTTCGTAGACTATTAAAGCTTCATTGAACACGGAGCCCAGCTTGATACGGCCTAGGTTTCGAATAGGGCCGCGCAAGTTATTCATAGGGAGGAATGCCACATATGGGCCATCGTGGAGTGGTACGGACCGTGGCCCCCGATGACCGTTGAGTGTATTAATCGGTGACTGGGGCGCTGAGAACCGCCGTGGGACGCGATTGTACCTTGTGTACATGTTGTGTTGTTTTCACCGTACGTTGACGAGGGTGAGCTAATAGGTTATATGTGTCAGCACTAGGTATAGTGTTCTCTAGTGGCACTCCCTGTGGTTCCAACGTACCTATGTCCCCTTCCTCGACCGGGTTGATGTGAAGTTTGTAAACGGTCGCGTTTAAGTCGGGTGAATTTTGCATATTAATACGGTACGGCGGCTTCGAGAACGTTCATCTAACCCCTCCTACCCTCATATAATAAATGTGTAAAATATTCTACTATGTTTTCTTGTTATATTAATACATATTATGAGCACATAATTCACATTGCTGGTTCAGAGGCTTCCATCTCCAATTTCTTGTGAATTACATACTCTAACTACTCTTTTTTAATAGATAGGTAATAAGGTTATACATCAATACGTTCATAATGAGGTATTTCGTATAGGGAGTTACTGAAGGAAAGAACTTACTGACGACCCTGTTGAGTCTTATACCAATTTTTATCCAGTTAAAGTATAATACAGCATTCATCGCATTGACTTGATGCAAATTTAACAAGCGAGGGCGAACTAGGAAATACCGCTATCACTGGTTGTATGGTGACCGGCGATGATCTTGAAAAATGGATTCTATTGTGCAGCAGCCGTTTAAGGTATCTATTGCACAAAGCGATCATCCAACTCCTCCACTATGCCGCTTTTTGCTCAAGACGTTTCCCGGCATCAACAAACAAGTGTAGTCTTCGTATGTCCGATCCATCGTGCGCCAGTTGCTCTCATTACGTGCAACATATTTTTATGTTAATATGCATATATATTAAATATGTACGTATATATATATATATATATATATTTTTTTTTCACCGCTATCCCGCAACTTAATGATTTATATCCTGTATGTACCCTATGTTTCCTCTATTTTCTTTCTCTGTATTTCCTCGTGTGCGTTAAAGTAAGTCCTATTCTATTATATTCCATATTTATGTTGAACGTCAATTTCAGATCACCCCCGTCCACTCCGATAACGTTCACATTCGACGAGAGCCTGGTAGAGGACACCAGCGGCAAGCTGCAGCCGAACCAGCTGACGGTGGACAACCTCACGGTGGAGTGGCTTAAGGAGAAGCTCACCGAGCTGGAATCCTCGCTGCAGGACAACAGGGAGAAGCAGACCGCACTGCACGGCCCCGAGATTATAGGCAATGGCGTCTGCAAGAACAATAATGGCGGCGTCACCAACGGTGTGAACGGTATTGACAGGTATGTGACAGCTGTCAACGGAATTGGCAATCGTACCGTGATCATCATTTCAGCCTGTTTGAGTACACTGCTGAACATTTATACCTTCCTCACAGACTGCCAGGAATCACGATCCTAATCCACCTGCGTCCATCGACTTTACGCACATTTGCACAGGCCGACACTTGTGTATAACTCACGATATATGTATCACTCACGATAATTACGGACAACATTGATAAGAAATAGCATATCTGATATTAATGGTAGAATTATTTTTATTAAATTGAGTTTATATGACCTTAAAAATTACATACTCTAGCTACTCTTTTTTAATAGATAGGTAATAAGGTGGAACATATCCATCAATACGTTCATAATAAGGTATTTCGTATAGTGAGTTACTGAAGGAAAGAACTTACCTACAACTTACCGAACTTACAATCTTGATGATGGAAAGTAATCATATTTTCGTTACTTTTTTCTGAGAGTAGTTTACGCAATAGTGAAGTATTGCACGGAACGTCATATTTAATTTTCATGTCTGACGGAAAATCATGTGTTAATTCCTTGGCGCGCAAAAAACTACAAATATATTCAATTTACTTCATCTGAAACGGAAATTTTACATGCCAGATTAGGAATCTAGACGTATATATTATCAAAGTGGCATACCTTAAACGGGAGTAAAGAATAAATAGTTATTGCTATAGAATCTAGTTCGTGTTGAATAATTTCAATTTCCTCTTCTATGTTGGTTGTTTGCTGGTTGATTAGTTCCTAAATTACAAAATTGACGCGTAAATTACATTACCATATTCTCGAACTTACATACTCTGAACATACAAAATCAAACTCAAATATCTTTATTCAATACAGAAGCGTGGCACTTACTTATTTGTTGTTAAACGCTAAAAACGTAACAGCCTATAAAGGCGAGCGCCCGGACACTGAGCTATCACGGCTCTAACGTTAAACGCTACACAAAAATTAATTGCTAGGATATTTACTCATGTCTCATTATTTTACGTAATATCCGTGCAGGCACTCGCCGCCGCCAATTCCGGTGACGTCATCGGAGCCAACGAAGCTTCTCGAACTGAGGGTGGTGGAGCGCAAGTGCGCGCGGCAGGCCGAGCTCATACGCACAGCCCTAGCGGAGCTTGGCTGCGAAGAGGCGCCAAGCGGTTGCCCTGACCTCTCGGCCGAGACGGTGGGCGGCGACAGCCTTGACGGCAGCTCGCCAGACCATCAGGTCAGACTTTTTCTTTTCTCTGTCTAATGGCCTTTTTCAGATTCCTTTTTGCCCGTGTCATGCGTTCACTTCTTTTGGTTTAGGTATACCAACCTATATTATAATTATTAAGTATTATTGATTGTTATATTTGCACTAATTGTTTTTAAACTTTTTATGAAAGCGGCAGTAATAAATAGCAAGAAATATAGAGAAACTCTTCACTATTCTAAAACCATACTTTAAGTATCCAGGATTGTAATCTGTTTTATCTTGATTTTGCATTTAATTAAACAAAATGATGTTTCAGTTTTTGATAATATTTAATTGAGCACGGTAAGTTTATTAAATTTTTTTTTAATAATAAAATTGGAGGTGGTAGGCATTCCTTTTCGTTCTCTTTTTGCGGGAAAAAAACAATGATACTTAACTTTTTTTAAGTCAGGACTATCATATCCTAGGGCTGTGCTCCATCAGGCGCGAAAGAATACAGCGTTCGAAAATTGAACCGTCAGGACCGCTCGTCGCTGGGCTCTAAAGCGTCGGTGGACGCGTTGCGGTTGCACCTGCACTCGATAATACCGCCGAGGCCCTTCTTCAGAATGTTCACGAGGCCCTTTAGGCGCAAATCGGTGCCCTCGAGCCCGGCGCTGCCGCCGAAGACGTACCGCAGCAGCAGCGAGGGGCCCGCCGACACGGTAACCCTAGCAGGGGCCCTCCGCGCCAAACGCGCGCGGGCCCTCAAGAAGCGCTTGCGCAAACGCGTCGATGTGTATGTGCGCTGTCGCCAAGGCCACAGCGGGCCGAAGAGGCGGCGCAAGCGCGTGTGTAGTTGCCCTAACAGTGTGGTGAGTGACACTAACGCCGCACGATGCATGAGCCTACCCACAGACGCCAGTACGGACGCGCGCAGTTCTAATTTTAAAACACCGTGCATCCTACCGGAGCGAAGCACGCGCCGGAACAAGCTTTAGTACCATTCTAAAATAGCACCGGCCGCCACTAAAGCACGAATTCAAAATCAAGGTGACTACTCGGCGACGTTCGGTTCGACGCGAACGCGAGAAAACAACGGATTTATTATCTGTGGCGTTTCGTGGACGATTCCGATTGCGTATCAATGGTGGACCCGTTCTCGATGTACATAACCCAAGCGGATCTCCCGCCGCCGTACGTCGTGCCGCGGAGGAAGAAGCGTTTGAAGCAACTGCAATTGCAACTGGAGAAGGCGGCCGTATGTTCTAGATCTTGTGTATGCTGTGTGATGTGTCTTTTTGTGCATGATTCGTCAATCGATGTGTAACTTTTAAATTGTTTGCGAGTGTGGAAATGTCAAGTTGTGTCAATCCAACGCTAATGCGCACTGATTTGGCTTTTGTGTTATGACCGAGACCGCCAAATGAATTATCTCTTAGGTGGAGTATAGAGGAATAGACGGGGAAAATATGCTGATATGTTAATTGCTTACTAAATCCTTGTGTTTGCACACGTTTAGGAAAAACAAATATAGACACCGCCTACAACTTCTAGACACGTATTTATCCTCATCCAAGCATGCGGTATGCTCGAAATGCTGACGTGTGTGACTCATACCATGTGCCCATAGCAGACAACTCCGACATAAATTCTTACTGCATTCCGTCCCGAAAAAAAGGGCGGGTGGAATTAATTAATCATGAAACTGTATCATAATGTACGATGTTCAGTTAGTCCCGAATATCCAAGACTTATTATTAAATTAATTTCAAGATAGCATTTGAGAGTTAAAAGAGATACATTTCAAAAGTTTTTGCTGTACATAGTGTTAAATAACAAATGCCATTGATTTTTACAATAATATACACATATAATAGTAATAAATAAATAGCATAAATTTTGGTTACTTTTCAGTATGAAAAAAATAGTTTTTTATTACTGTTCAAATTTATACTAAACTTTTAAAATACGTAAAATTTAATTTGTCAAAACATTAAAGTAAGAGTAGAAAAATCATTGGTTTGTTGAAATTTGTTAAAATAAGAGTAGAAAATGTATGTGTTCTATTTCGTCTTTACCGTAAACAATATGTAATTATCAAAGTCATATTTAAATAGTAAACGAGTACGAAATTATTAATTACGCTTGATGACTGAACATTTGTTTGGAAATTATGCAACGGGAGTAAAAACATGATGTACGATACAAGTATATCTGAACCGATTCTTCGTTCTGCATTGAGAAGTTTTTATTTTTATTTCAATGAGCATCTGCAATGTATTTTGAATTTTTGTCCAATCGAATTTCTTCAAAACTATAAGCAGCTTATTAATAAAGAAAAATTTAATTAAATTTCTAGTTCAATTTTTATAGGAAAGAATATTAATTAGATTAGATTGCGTTGAGAATCGAGGTTTAAGAGCGAGTGCGAAACGCGCGTTTCAGGTGAGCGTGAGCGAGACGGAGCGATCGCTGGTGGAGCAGGAGTGGTTCCACGGCGTGCTGCCGCGCGAGGAGGTGGTGCGGCTGCTGAGGGCGGACGGGGACTACCTGGTGCGGGAGACCACGCGCAACCACGCGCGCCAGCTGGTGCTGTCCGTCTGCTGGGGCCAGCACAAGCACTTCATCGTGCAGACCACGCCGGAGGTCTGAGCTCTCGCCCTTTCCGTTTTGGCTTTTTTGCGAACGCTACCTCTGCTGTTTTATTACGACGGAAGCTGGTTGAGGTCGTCACTCAGCGTTGCGTGGCCATGTAATTTACGTGATCTAAGAAGCTATTTATGCAATTAATATTCATTCCGAGGCCGACGCCCGGTTTTCGAATCACTGATCATCGTAGAAATTACCTAATCAGCTGTCAAAAGGGTGGGTAAACGACCAAACGCTTTGAATTGATTATTCTGATACACTCAAAAGAGTTTCGTCCCCGTGAATATAAACCTTTTAGCTCAGTGGCTAGAACGTCGGGCGCGTATACCGTTGGACGCGGGTTCAAACCATCGCAGCGGCGTAAAAACTTTCGTCCGTTTTTCGACAAACTTTTGAAGTTATAAAAGGCAATATCCTTTGACAATATATCAGTAAAATTATGCATCCCAGGGCCACTATCGCTTCGAGGGCGCTGCATTCCCGTCCGTGGCGGAGCTGATTGCGTGGCAGCGCAGCAGCGGGGTGCCGGTGACGGCGCGCTCGGGCGCCCTGCTCCGCCGCGCGGTGCCACGCGAGACCTGGGAGCTCAACAACGACCACGTGCAGTTGCTGGACAAGATCGGACGGGTACGACCGTTCCTAGCGTTCCTTCTCTGATGTCCTGGTACTTTGCCGGATGCACCTTCGCATTAGTGCTACAGCGAAGACTGTAGAGTGGCCCTATAGGAACAATTTACTAATCGAAAAGATATGTAGCAGAGTTTCTTGCCGGTTTTCCTCTGGACAGGTCTAATCTGGCGAACCGGTAGTACTTTTTTGACTTTCAATAAGAGCTTAATTAGAGCCTCTTTTGAATAAAACTTTGACTTTAACTTTGAAAAAATCGACTTTAAAAAGGGCGTTCTCAATTAGTTTGTATATTTATACCCCGACTCGTGTTCTGACGACCCGTCGATGTCATTGTAGCTCTTGAAGTGATAAAGATTATATATAATCATAGCAAACTATAATTTGAGATTTTGGGTTTGGCTTAAAATTTACACTTGATTTTAGACTTAAATTTTATCACCATACAACGCGACAAATCGCCAAATATAACTTGATGATGTGCAAGTTTACCATATCGCTTTTAAGACTTTACGGATACGAATTAAGATCCTTAAAGAAGAAAATAGAAACACCTTCCTTAAAGGCCAACTACATTTTTATTTTGCAACTTCTCTGGTGCTCCGAGTGCCCATGAGTGGCACTCACTATGTTGTGTACACAAGGTCGTGATACTTACCCGGATGGACCTGTCCATGGTGTGTGCCGAAGCTGTTGCATCCAAAATTCATCCCATGCAACAATGTCAATAATTTTTTGCGTGACTGCTACTACTACTGTGTCTTTTATTCATTAAAAAAAAACGTCTGGTCCGTCCGCACGTTTGTAGGGCAACTTCGGGGACGTGTACAAGGCGCGGCTGAAGACCACCGGCCAGGAGGTGGCGGTGAAGACGTGCCGCGTCGCGCTGCCCGACGAGCAGAAGCGGACCTTCCTGCAAGAGGGCCGCATACTGAAGCAGTACCAGCACCCGAACATTGTGCGCCTGATCGGCATAGCGGTGCAGAAGCAGCCCATCATGATCGTCATGGAGCTCGTGCCAGGTACGATGATGGCTCGCGCGCAAAACGCGTCTTACAACGGTCGTACACGTGACTTAATACGGCTTAGAACGTGGCGCGAACAATGAAAGATTTGCTTGATTAGTTATTAAAACTTATTGTCAAAAGAAAGGCAATATTCAGTTACAGTTGTCATTAATTTTAAAATTAATTATACAATATTAATTTTTAAATAAATTATACAATATTGTTATGAAATTTGTTAAAGGAAGAATTTTGAGAATGACTATCATTTGTTATTTCGACGAATGAACAGTTTTAAAGAGAAGAATCACTATCATTTCTTATTTCGACGAATGAACGTTTTTAAAAAGAAGAATGACTATCATTTGTTATTTCGACGAATGAACGGTTTTAAAAAGAAGAATCACTATCATTTGTTATTTATTATGTTCTTTAGAGCTATTGTAATAATTACTTTCCTTGTAATTTATTCATTTAACTAAAACAAGTTCTACCGTGATGTCTCTATTACATGGATTTACTATCGGTGGAAATCGCACGGGCAGCAATGTATAATACATATAAACCTTCCTCTTGAATCTCTATGTAGTGAAAAACCGAATCCAGAGTTTTAAAGATCTAAGCATACATAGGGGCAGCACAGACAGTGGGACGACTGTTTTGTACTATGTAGTGATTTCTTATATTCTTTAGAGCTTTTGCAACAATTAGTTTCGTTGTAATTTATTCATTAAACTGAAACAAGTTCCACCGTGATGTCTCTATTTCGGTGTGTATTAAGTGTCAGTTTAACAAGTAGCCGTTCGTTGTGGTCGAAAAAAGCCATTTGTGAGAGTCGGTCCGCGTTCGCGCGCAGGCGGGTCGCTGCTGACGTTCCTGCGCACGCGCGCGTCCTCGCTGGGCGCGCGGCCGCTGCTGGCAATGTGCCGCGACGCGGCGGGCGGCATGCGCTACCTCGAGTCGAAGAACTGCATCCACCGCGACCTCGCGGCGCGCAACTGCCTCGTGGCGGACGACCACACCGTCAAGATATCCGACTTCGGCATGTCGCGCGAGGAGGAGGAGTACATCGTCTCCGGCGGCATGAAGCAGATCCCGATCAAGTGGACCGCGCCGGAGGCGCTCAACTTCGGTGAGCGTCCTTTTTTTTGTTTTTTCCGAACACTGAGCTATCACGGCTATAGGTATACACGGAAAATTTACAAGAAGTCCCCAAATTTACACAGAAAGTTCGGACTCTGTAGTATAATCGTTTATTGAAACAAAAACAAGGTTCTTTTCTTTTTATCAAAAAAATTGCCATACTATTCTCTAAAAAACAGAACTTGTTGACAATGCGGTAGTCATACATAAATACCTAAATTTGACTGTGCAGGCACACAAACAAAACTAAGCGCTTTGAACGTCGCTGCCGTACTGGTATCACGGTGAGCGTTTGCTCTTTTCGAAGTTATACTTCTTTGAGCGCGTTATGGAAAAATTATGAGAGTGAAATTTTGAGATGCGCACGCATCACTAGCACAAAAGTAACACCTTTGGAGCTGCCCGCTAAACTGCTTATTTTTTTTATAGATGGCAACATATTCTCGAACACATTCACCCGTTATAGTTCTCAATAAATAATGTAGTTGGCGCTTCGATAATTTTATTATTTATATCCTTTTCCAGTCTTTTTATCATTTTGTTGTAATTAATTATTTGCATACAATTAAATTCTAAAATACTCACCCGGACGGACCTGCCCATTCGTGCAACAGAACTCAAATGTTAAGTTTAAGTTAAGAATTGTTTTGTTAAATTTATCCAGGCAAGTACACGTCGTTGTGCGACGTGTGGAGTTACGGCGTGCTGATGTGGGAGATATTCTCCAAAGGCGACACCCCTTACGCGGGCATGAGCAACTCTAGGGCAAGGGAGAAAATCGATGCTGGTAAGTAGCTGAGTAACAAACTGAAATGATAATGTTATTTGATTGTATTTATTTATTTAGTCTTAATTGCCTGACGTAAATAAAATACGTTAGCAAAGGTCGGACTTGATGCCAAAAGGCATTCTCTACCAGTTAACCCAGGATGTGGTGAGAGTTTATCAAGGTTGTTAATGCCAAATGTATATAAGCAGAGAGTCTATTGAACATCAGTTACAAATGTAAGAGCAAATAGGTATTATAATCAGAGACAAATATTGCACATCGTTTGGAAAGAGACAATGGGCTGGTTTCGATTTCGTAGAGCGTTATCTCTGTCACACACGTGAAGTTTGTCAGTTGTTTTACAAGTGCTAAAGAGATAACGCGATTATTTTAACCGACTCCGTGGCGCAGTGACCAAGATATTGGCCTCGGCGTTGGACGTCGTGGGTTCGATTCCCACACGGGACAACTATTTGTGTGACCCACAGATAGTTGATTCGCATATGGGTGTTTGTCCGCGTGAAATTCATGTTTGTAAAACGTCCTTACAACGCAGGGTAATGTTATTCTAAAGTAAGGACAATGTTTAAAAAATGCAGCTTTTTCTTATCTGCCGGATTTACTTATACGAATATATTATGTATTATAGGATTTTACTTCTTATATAATTTATGTGTACGTTCATTTTTGTCAGGATACCGCATGCCAGCGCCGGAAGGCTGTTCCGAAGACGTATATAATCTAATGTTACGTTGTTGGGAATACGAACCGGACAAACGACCGCATTTCCATCAAATATACACAATCATCGATAACATATACAATAGATAACGAAAAATTGAAACGAAGGGTTACATGAGGTCATTGACCGCTGTGACGTCATCTGACATACTTATGGGTCGTTGATTTGTTTTTTGCAACTTTGATTGTGTGACTGTCACGTAGTTTACTGATATGTATATCGTATTGTATTAATTTCTAGGTCAGGTTTATTTTCATATAATCGTTAATCATCTCTCGATATTATCGTGTAAATAAAATTCGTTACCTTCCTTTAACAAGTGTACGATTAATCTTTGAGGAGTAATGGGAATGTCTTACTAAGGAGGCGCTTAACAGAATGTTGAATTCATTGTGGTGCCCAAGTCTTATTTTTTTAGGTTATAGTGTAATATTATAATCATTTTTTCGTTCAGTATTATTTACAGATAAAACAAAAAACCAAACTTAATTTCATAGATGGATGAAATTTATTAAAAAAGGGAGCAATTAGATTTGATACTAAAATGGAACAGATGAAGCAATTTAAACGTACCTGTAAGGCGTTTTTTTATAAATAACAAATATTTAGGCCTCCATGACCGAATTTATTATTCTATATTGTGTGGACATTGATATGTTAGAAAAATATTATATTTTCTTAACATAGAACAATACATTACTCTAGATTATACACCCGTAGTTTGTAATGAGTTGTAAAAATATTTTTTACATTAAGTTTGATAATCAAGATTATGTGCAATTGATTGGTCGAATTGTATATCGTTCGTTTTTAAGATATATTTGTAAATGAAATTTTAGGTAATTTTCTATTATTATCTCCTTATTATATTGTTCTGTAATAACCGTAATTTAAGTAAATTTCTGTAGTAGTTGTAGTTTTATCATAGGGAAATTAGTTTTCTTTGTATTTTGTGGTTAAAATAGTTTAAGTATTTTCGACATTTTTTTGTAATGCTCCCAGTAATGATGTATTGATCTCGAATGGTTAGTACGGTGGAGAAATGTAGTAGTTATATTTTTACGTTACAAGTTGTGCGTTTTTGTTTTATTTTTGTATTAATGGAGATTGTGTTTAAAAGTAATTATTATCGAGCCTTTATTTGGTCTTATTTTTTTAATCTTTTTTATTATTCATAGTTTATAGTTACTCTTCCATTACAAACCATGAGCTTCCTTGTGCCTTACAGGTAGTCATTAAAATGTCTTAAGATGGTTATCTTTAAGTTGTGATTTTAAACCACGTGCTTCCATTTTATTTTTTTTACTCTCTTATACATTTGAAATTAATGATATTTTGTTTATCTAATTACCCCTCTAAATTTTTTACTATATTTTTAATGTAATTTAAAAGTGAGAAAATTAATGAAGTTTTCGGTGTGTTTATTATTAATAATAATTATGTTGTGTTATGTGTGAATGTAAATATTTCGTACTATACAATAAAGTGCCAGATGATTTGGTTTTAAATATTGGAATTTCTTTATTTTTATAACTGAATTACTATATGCACCGTTGCCCTGTGGCCATCAAAGAAGGTTAATCTAGTAGGGACCTATTTAGTTCGCGTATAAATATTACCTTCTTGTTTTAAAGACATGCCACAGTAACCATTTGTTTTCTAACAGACTAAAAAGTGGATTGATCCTTGGTGAAGCCATTTTGTGGTGAAGAAATTTTTATTTAGAACTAGCAGGTTAAATAAAAATTTTAAATAAAATTTTTAAGGAAATATTTTGAGATAATGTCGAAGATCGTGTTTAATGCTATATACCGGTCGTTTTTGGGAGCACTGTGCTCAAAGTTGGTGATAACTTTTTTTACCTAGGACAATTAGTCTGTTTAGGTAAGCCTAATTTCCAAAGGTTCTTGAGTGGCAGTCTCGTACTGGCCATCGCAGCCTAAAACGACTCTCCCCCTCCCCTCCCTAGATGGCACAGGTACCGTATTCAAATGAGCGGGAAGTCGATGGATGCAAGAGTACTTCGTACTGCGTGGCAGTCTATAGGGGAGACCTTTGTTCAGCAGTGGACTCAAACAGGCTAAAATGATGATGATGAAAAAAATATATAAGTTAGAATCTTATATAAAACTGTCATCGAGTTTCAAATAATTTCAGCAAACGCCAGAGACATAAAATAAATTTTATAAATCACGGGCTCCAAGGTAAAATATACACATACACTTACAAAAATTTGGAAAAGAAGGGCAAAATTTCTATACTTAAGCATTTCTTAATCTTATAATATACAGAGTACATTTATACATGTATAACAGGTTTTTTTCGCGCAAGTAGATTTAGCATCAAGAGTACGAGTATTAATAAAGACTTACAAGTTGAAACCTGATTTCTGCTCTCAAGTACTGCCGAATAATATATGTAAAACAATTTAAGATGAGTGCATTATTCAATGTCAAAGTCGAAATTTATTTATTCAATATAAGCTTAATTTAAGCTCCCATTGAACATCAAAAAAAAATCTACGACCTTATTTGCCACTCTGGTTTAAATACTGATTATGTTTATGTAATCCCTGTGTTCGTTTCTATATGATATGTAGAGTTGGAGGTCGTCGGCATATAAATTATACTGGCAACATTTATAACAGCCTGTAATATTGGCACTGTAGAGGATAATTATACAGTAAAGGAACTAACGAAACGCAACTAGTAACCGGACCCGCAGCAGGAAAAACGTCTCTTTAATCTGTAAAGTTACCCAAGAACTAGCCAGTTTGTAATAAAAAAAAATCGGAAACAGTTAAACAGTACATAGTAATTTATTCGTATACAAAGGGTTCGGCTTATAAATACAGTTTTATTAATTCGTCGCTCACTGCAGACGGCGTGAGGATGCCAAGGTCGGTGAAGAGCAACGTGATATACGCCGGGGGGGTGTAGTCGACGAGTGGATGCTCCTCGGATAGATCCCTCCCGCTTTTCAGCACGCCGGATAAGTATTTGAACTCGTTGGGCAAATCTTGCTGGTTCAGTGGATATATTCTCGAGAACTTGAAGCTCTCCGTCAGCACGTGCACAGGCTTCTTGAGTTCCAACGCGGACATCGCTAGGCCGTATGTCCCGATCTGAAATTTTTTTTCGCATAGATAAGCACATAGTCTTGCTTTAATACAGAATATACAAATACACGGATACGTCAAATTCGGGGGAATCCCCAACATCTTCAGTGTTGTAGACGTGTTGTGTGTGGTAGCTATCTATAGCGTATCACTTATCATGAGGCGACGCGTTGCCACGCCAACAGTAATGTGATAATCATATTACATATTGTGGGGTGACTTGCGTCACATCGCTTGCGAGTATATCCTTTGCAGCATAGCACTATAAGTAATTTAAATTTTTAAAAAGCAATGGCGTCATCTCTCGTTCGAATTATTGTTATAAAACGATATTCGAAATTGTTTGTATGCTGGAAAGGATATAACAATGGATGCGCCAAGCATTGCTTCAAATGCTAAAAAACAATGTAGATAAAAGATGTTAAGATTTTCGTCGGAGTGGCCATTTAGCTTAGTGGTTAAAGCGTCAGGCCGCGAACGCCGAAGACGTGGGTTCGAATCGACAATCTTTTCGTACTTTTTCTACATATTTTAATCATTTTATGCATTTCGTCTGTACAACATAATTTCGATGTTTCACATCTGCCAGGTATTCCGCAACGGATAATTTTTTGTTTAACATCTTCGGATTTCTCCATACACGCAATTCATCAACAGTTATAACGACAATTTTCAAATTAAAATTAAAATCTAAATAAAATGGTTGTGAAACCCAACGAATAGTGACCATAGACAACGTGTATAATTGATTTTGATGCGTGAAATGATTGCGTCGCACCTTGTTAATGATGCCGCCGCTCTCCGTGACCCCCTCGGCGCCGAGCATCACAATGTCCACCTGCTCCATTATGTAGCCGATCGCTGCGTCCAATATCAGGGTTGCGTCCACCCCGCCGGCCAACAGTTGCTTGTGCATGAGCACTCTGATCGGACAATTAGAAATGGGCCATATCCAAAAAACGTAGGGCGGTAACTGTACATGACTCAGACGCCATACAAAATAGCCGATTTGGTGGAGTTGGCTGTTAAAATTGTAACGTTCCGTGACATGCGGAGTTGGCTGATTTGCGAATAGCGATTTATAGAAAGAATTGTGATTATATCGGAGTTGTTGTTTTTGCGAATCACGCGGAATGATTATTGCGTACAATATAAACCAAAAAACATTTTTGACCAAAAGTGGTTTTGGCTGGTTTGCCAATTAAGGTATCGATTATGTAAAGTAAGAGCTTATAAATGTCCCACTGCTGGGCAAAGACCTCCTCTGTAAAGAGGGTATCAGGGCATAGACCACCACGCGACCCAACTGCGGATTGGCGGACTTCAAATATTTTCGTAATATTTTTTTGTTATTATTTCGAAAATATGCAGATTTCCTCACGATGTTTTCCTTCACCGCCGAGCAAGTGATAAGTCGGCACTTAAACTTTTCAATTTCATTGGTCGCTTACACCGGGGATCGAACTCGGGAATAAATTGAATTAAAGGCGAGCGCCCAGACTATCACGGCTATATGGCTATATGTAAAATATGTCAATTTGACGGTAGCCGATAAGCCAAATTACCGTTGTATGGTGACTATATACAGTTTTTCATTAATTCAATTATTGTAATAAATATGAAGTTACATTATTAACCTATCTAAAAGTCAATGTAAATTTTAATTCCACAATAATAATAATAATCAAAAGTATCTGTTATTCATAAATATTGTGTATGAGTTGACTGAAATGTGTGACTGTATGTCTACTGAAATTATCCAGATAATAGTTTCTGCAAATTGTTTTATTCTAACATCTGATATAACTGGGACTGTGACAGACAACACCTTGCTTGAATTCACAATGCGGTGCTTTATGGTACTGCTAACACTGTCAATCATTTTATTTACCTCTCACCTAGTCTTAGCCATTTACTTTTTCATAGCAGAGGGTTTCTGAATGGCTATATTTTATTAAAGTAATTAATTTCATCAATAAAAATACCCTTACCCCGTATTGTCTGGGCCTGACATTGTGACATAAACATGAAACCTTTTATTTGCTTTGGCTGCTTCCAGCATTGCTTGCAGTACTACTCTTGATCTGGAATGCGTTAAAATTTTCTGGAAAGACAAATTTGTCAAGAATAAAACAAAAATTATACTTACATTAATTTCAATTTTAGTAAAGTGTAAATGGAAAATGAAGAAGTAATATTTTATTTCCTTAACACATAAAGGGGTTTAACAATATCTACCTTAATACAATGACAAGTGCAAAAAAAAATTTGTAATTTAACTTCATCATACTTAACATAAGAACTCTTGGTCCTATAAAAGAAATTATTGAATACTTACACAACCATCATTAATAAAAGGTAAAGCTTGCTTGGCAATCTTTCCTCTTGCTTCAAGTAATGTCTCCAAAAATATATGTCCCCTTTGCAACATAATTTGTTCACATTCTTCAAATGACTGAAACAAAAATATTATTTTGATAATGATGGTTTTAGTAAGGGTTTAATATATCCCAAGTATCCTTTGTATCAATATTGCATCTATTGCTTATTTATCAATATTTTTAAAAGAAACACTACCCAATATTATATTTTAGACAACTTTGTAAAGAAATATTTGAAATGTAGACCTTTACGTCCAATTTTGCAAATGTGATAAATCTCATGAAGAGTTCACAACTTGATGATATGGCTGTGACAGGCTGATCACAATGTCGCATTGCATCCACTGCAAGTTGCAAGTTCAGATCCAACTCTCTAACTGTAGCCACTGGAAAAATTAAAAAAGTAAACCAAATTAATCACTTATGTTTTCTACATCAACAAACAACTACCTTGAAGAAATCTGGTTCCGTGCTAGCTGAAACTTCAAATACAATATGTATTATGGTATAATCCATTCCAATCCCTAATTATATAATAATACAAGAAAGGATCATCTTTTAAGGTAAATATTCCGAACAGTACGTCTCGTTTTTCAAGCTAGAAAAAAATTTTAATCGATAGAGAAATGTTAATAATTAAATATTACATACGTGAAAACCAAGGCAAACACTTACTTTTAATAAAAAAAATATATTTAAAACTTGTTATTTTCACTAAATAAATCCGCCATTTTGTGTTTGACAACATGTATAAATTTAAGAATTCACTCACTTTTCCAAATTATAACCTTCGCATTATTAAAAAAAGAGTCTTTAAAAATACTAAAAGTACTGTTACACTAAAGTTTTCTGGGTGGTCATAAAAAAAAACCTAACATCGAAGGCTAAGGCCTAATCGAAGGCTAACCTAACCTATCCGAGTCGGATCGCTCTGTGACAGATCTGTGACTCATTTTGAACCTAATATTTGAGACATTAAGTGTACCCTAAGTCACAAATTTTAAATATTAGAAATTGTTAATAATACATGTTCATGAAGTAGAAACTTGTGTTTTTGTGATATATGTGTATTTGTGTCTTCTTACAACGTAAAAAGTGAAAACGTAAGTTTTTTTAACTTAAAATAATAGTCTATAATGAATAATGGACGCACAGTAATGACGGATTTCAGTTGTATGAAATTTAAAAACTTTGTTAATTTTTTCCTCATAATCTAGTGGTTTTCATTGATTATAACTTATATAATATTTAATTATTAACATTTCTCTATCGATTAAATTTTTTTTTCTAGCTTGAAAAACGAGACGTACTATTCGGAATATTAGCCTCTTTTAATTCCAACAAAAAGAATTCAAAAAGAAATATTCAAATTTCTAAAATAAAACTTAGGCTAATTGTTTTGCCTACCTTTATAATTTTCTATAACTGTCAGAAGAGTTCGAATTGCAGCTACTCCGGCAGAAACATCTTCTTCTTCTTTCAGGATTTGTAGGAAAATTTCTTGTACCTCTAAAATTAGAAAAATAATTGAATACTTTACAAAAGTAAATAAATACTATTATAACCTCTTAAAATATTACCTTCTTTACGCATTGTTTACTGTCCCTTTTTTAAATTAAAATTTTATGAGCTTAAATAAGCTAATCCTGTTATTTTGTTTTATTATTTAATTATTATTATTCTGCAAAATTCAAAACAATAATAATGATTAATGAAATTGTCGCGTTGACGGACGACGGTTGACGTTTATTGACCACAGCAGACCACAGAATATGACAACACTTGAACTTAGTTTGATTTTATTTAATTCGTAATTCCACGATTACACCGTGACACCGTGGTGTATGTTATGATTTTTTTAATGTGTCAAGGTGGCATAACCGTAGCCCATTGACATTTGCAAGACCCAAAAGTTGGTTTGCAGCTGCGTTGCCACGTTATAAGAAAGTGGGCCCGCATTACCTCACTCTGCACAGACTGCACTTCAATCTTTTTTTTTATGTGAAAAGTTGTCAAACGAGCAGACGGTACACTTGATGTTAAGTGCATACCGCCGCCCATGGACATCTGCCACACCCGAGGGTTACAGATCCGTTGACAACCTTTTGAAAATTGGGCTCCGGCTACCTCACTCACCAAACAAAACGCGAAAGTATTTGTCATAATTCCACTTTACGCTGGTCTTCTGTGAGGTCGTGGTACTTACCCGGATGGGCCTGATACTGATAAGTGTTGGTTTATGATATTCATATTTTATTATGAGTCTCAGGTAATTTCTGCAGCCAGCATAACATATAATTTATTGAGATTTGTGTAGATTATAAACCTTTAAATATTAATAATATTTCAGTTTTTGTAAGGTCTCAATGGCATGATCATTATCGAATATAAAAAAGTTCCAGTTGCATCTTTCTCACCAATTTTTACGAGGTTTTTCCCATTGATCGTTCACATCTTCTAGTTAGTTTTCCTTAACCAAACGAACCTAATAATTAACAATCATTTTTACATAATTGAAGTGTTTTTCCCATGAACATAAAATAATAATAACTCGTAATATTAATTCAAAATTAAGCACCACACAATCCTTTAGTTTCGTTTCGATTATATTTATAAATTGTAGATATATCAGATTTTTATAAAGCGCCATCTAGTGTCCATTTCCAAGATTAATCAATAATTTTCCTTTCCAAAAATTTTCAAATATTTTTCGTTTGCTACATAAAGAAACTAAAAGAACAGACTTAAAGGTTTTTCAGACTACATTAGGTGATTTCAAATGACGTAAAATTTAACTGGGGGAAAGTCATGGTCAACTGCAATTGTAGATTACCTGCGTTGTCGAGGTTGATTATAGTCTTACGGGTACTCGAATGGCTAAGACGCGTTGCATAGTACATTTTGGTTGCATTATTTCTACTCGTGGACCTAGTGTTAGAAGTGTCTGGAAGTAACAGCACAACATCAACTGAGATGGGAAATTCCGCCTCACTCAAATTAAACGACAAAAGGAAGTGGCAGTAAGTTTTTATGGTCTTGACAGATTACGGGTATAAAATTATTCTCGAGATTGATTGAGATTATTTTTAAATGTTGTTTCATTTTTTAATAATTTTCAACACTTTAAAATATAATTTTTAATATTAATTTCAATTAGTTAACACGCTTTAATTTTATGGGGTGATGATCCCAAATATCAATTCATTTTTCCGTGTTCATACATGTTCGAATAACAGTGACGATTTGATGACCATCGATTAAAAGTCAACCTTCATATATTAAGCTCCTCATCTTTATTACTTTACTAGCTTTTCGACCGCAGCTTCGCTAACGTTGATGCCATTAAATAAATACGTTTTTAAATATATTTTTTTAATAAAAAGAAACCTATGTCCTTTTTAATACCTCTAAGAATATGTGTACAAAGGTTCATGGTAATCGGTTGAGTAGTTTTGTCGTGAAAGCGTAACAAACAAAGTAACATTCACATTTATAATATTACTAGCTGGTGCCCGCGACTACCTCTGCGTAGAATAGGCTGAAGGTCTGAAGGGCTGAAGGTGTCTTATTCTGATGTATAAGCTATATTATTGTAAAGTTTCATTAAAACCCATTCAGTAGTATTTGCGTGAAAGAATAACAAACATCCATCCATACATACAAACTTTCGCGTTTATAATATTAGTAAGGAAGTAAGGATTAGGGATGCTATGATCTCAACTTTAGACTTTACGATACCCATTGTTAATTTAAAAGCTTAATATTTAAGTTTTACCTTATAATTAACATATTAATTAATATTCGTATTTAATTTATATTTCTCACACCCAGATAATTACTACGATACGTAAATGGGTTCATTTGCATCTAGAGACAAAACATTCGTACTTTTTGCAACACGACATAAGCAGCATTTAATAAATAAAATTCACACCACAACTTAATTTGTAGTATAAACCACATTACGTCAGATTAGATTTGAAGGCTTATATGGTTTGTATATACAAATGATTTAAAAGAATTTACTTTCAATAAGGCAGTGTAGGTTAAACGATATTTTGCCAGTGTATTATAATCATAGAACGCAAATAAAACTTGTTTTAATTAAATATATAGATTTAAATATGGGTTTCCAAAGCATGTTCGTATTCGTATATACGCTGATTTATCTGATTTGTTTGAGGAAATTGATAGGAGATGTCAAAGGAAACTGAACTTCCCTTCTGTGGAACAATGCTTGCGAAACAAAACACAATATAGAGTTACCGGTAACCGTTGTTATGTTTTTAACCGAAGCTATGTGTTGCATTCTTCGTATCAATGATAAGTACAAAAGTAAAAGTACGTACTTGCGTTAGTTCAAGAAGAATTGGTTCATTGTCAACTACTCTTAAATACTAGTAGAATTAGACCATGTATTTTTCATTCCCTTTTATTTATTAAATGCACATCTATTTATTATCAAGTGGGAATATAATATTCGTTGATCGACCTAGTGTAGAATGACATGTGAATTATCATTTTTTGTTATGGTGGTATGGTATAAATTTCATATAAACAAATCGCAGATTGATATCGCATTTCATCTGGCTTTAAATATCAATATGGAGCTGAAGTTAAATATGAATATGGAGCTGAAGCAAGAAACGGGTTTTTATAGCTTTTGTAAGCTTTTCCACTATTTTTGTCTAAGGATGCAAATTTACCCAGTTCCTTAATATGCGTTCGATAGTGTTGATATATTTATGTTTTAACAATTAAAATTTAGTATTTTTTAAACATCTAAACTATGTACATTTTATAAAGTATACATCTTAAATGTTATTGCAAACGTTTGTTTATTTGGGATCACTGTATTGTTAAAAGTTTATATAAATATTGTTATGAACACACAAAGGAACTAACGCCATCTAGCGTCAACTATTAAAATCACTAAAGAACAAAGACGTCATAAAACCCCCTATTCAATACTAAAACCCCCTATTCACCACGTCCAAACTAATGGCCTTTACAAACTTCAGGTCATGCAAAATAAGTTCACATGCTTCGCAACCGGTGCGAGTTAGTATCAGGGTAAGTTACATTGGTACCAGCACGACCTACGTAGCGATTGAAGACCTCTGACCTTTTTTTTTACGCGGGAAAAGTCCTTTATGGGTCCCCGGCTTCCTCTCCGTAACTCTCACACACACTCCCACATATCCCTTATACCTGCGCTGTCGCTTCTGCAAGGGACACAGGATCACGAAAACGCAATATTCCGCGAACCTGGCGCGACTGTGGCCTTCTTAGGCCTCATCTCTCCGTGTGTTTGGACACCCGGTCCAGCCAAATGGTGCCGTGTCGGTGCAATGAACACGGCAGTCCTCCCAAGCCCTCCGCGGGGCAGCAGTTAGTCCCACATCTGCCGCTCTGAAGACCTCTAACCTACACGAACACAATCGAAAGAGACGAAAAACATTCCAACACTCTTATGGTTAACGCAGCGAATATAAACCCGATATAAAAGCGACCGTTTACAGACGTCACTTGTGCAAAGTCCTCATCAGACCCGGTCGAGGTCATTTGCTAATCATGAATGTCCAACAAATCTCAAATATCTTCCCTTGACTACGGTCTTGAGAACCCCAAAAAAAAATCGCAATTACGGTTTCCGAACGTCATTGGTGGGATGTTATTCATTTTCTTTAAAAAATGGTTTACGGAATCGGAGTCAAGGCGCTTGTTTTTGTTCGAAGCGATAATCACTCTGTGACTCATGTATAACAGAATTGAAACGGATACTGTTACGATAAAACTGCGACACGGCACAAGTAATAAAATTGAGTTGGTAGCGACAGGCTCGTGTTTGCTTTCTATATGACTGGCAAAATATTTCACTTTCTACGTGAGGATTGCGAGAAGTAACAATATTTTGTTACATATTATGCGAAATTCACGATGACTTGTATACATACGTTTGATACGCACTCTTGTGTAAAACAGTAAAGACCATTACAGACCCAGGTGTAATAAAAGTTTATATAAATTATGTATTATATTGCTTTTGAATATGAAACATATTTTAAAAACTTATTTTAAATGATAACTTAACATATTTTAAATGATATATATAATATTATGTTTAAATTATATTTAAAGAACTTTGAGAGATACCGCGATTTTTCTACGTGACCTATATTTAGCTTATGTACGTTTGTGGCCACAAAACCTAAAAGATAGATTGACTTGATATTTATTCACAAAAGACCTATTGATTGGGAGAGTGGTGTTATATATTTTTTATTTAGAATTTATGAAATATCGTTATAATTACTCCAACTTTTACTATTTTCTTTTAATCTGTTTTAAAAGAAGATAACAAGTATATCGTGGTGATAGTTTAACTGTGATAGGTCACCCACGGCAGCTTCTGCTGTTTCATGAATTAGTATGCTTTTCTGGATAAGTGCCACGGTCTCACAGAAGATCAGCGTGAAATGGAAGGTTTATACTTTTGCGTTTCGAATGGTGAGTGGGGTAACCACTGACCATTGGCCATTTTTTTTTAAAGTTGACAACGCTTGTCATCTCTGGCAGATGACTTTATATAACTTAGAAGTCATTTGTCCGCTTACTAACTTTTCAATAAAAAAGGTTTTGGTGAACCTCTAACATAATGACACCTATAAGAGAATAACTGAAAAAACAACAACAAAAATAATGCATGTAGAGCCGGTGTACCGTCGGTGAAATTTAAATTAAGTACCTACATGCACCGTTATGGTTACTCGCGATAACAGAAACTGTCCTATAGACATGCAAAGAGACCTTCGAACAATACTAGGTAGGTATAGATTATGCACCAATATCGAATTTGAAAATGTGTCACCTTAATTCAAACGATAATGGTCGCGTTTGAAGTTGACCGACAAATTTATTGCTGCAAAAATTGTTTCACGCAAACGTACGTGTGCGTGTGAAATGTGTGCGAAAAAGGAAAAAGGGTTTGAAGAATGTGTGTTGGAAAAAGGGTGTGGACAATGGAAGTCATTTATCTCTGGCAATCACCTCAGAGTGACAGGCATGTGTGTAGCATGAATAGACCGAATCGTTTGTAGACGCAGAACAGGCTCGCGAAAGACCGGCATGAAGGAGGTTTTTTTTTTAAAACATTGCCCTTGCTTTAGGGTATCATTATCCTGTGTTGTACGGACGTTTTACAAACATTAATTTCACGTGGACAAACACCCAGATGCGAAACAATTATCTGTGGGTCGCACAAATAGTCCCGTGTGGGAATCGAACCCACGACCCCCGACACCGAAGCCAATACCTTGTTTCCTTTACAAATTAACAGTATTGTACAAAATTTTTGGATGTTAAAAGAAGTACACTTGAGTTTTGAATGTTATACTAATCATGTTCTATTTTTACGGTGACGTTTTTTAATTGTTACCATGATAACTAAGTAGCAAATATAATTAGTTTGAGTATTTTTAGTTGTACAGAGGCACCGAATCGTACTTCCCTTTCGCAATAAAATACAATGACTTCGAAGGAAGGTCCGATAATTTCGTCGTCATGGGACGCTTACTCCGATTGGGCAACGCTCCCAAGATCATCAGAACCTCATTTTAATTAAAACTTTATTTTATACACTCATATAACCCACAACTTCATTCAATCCTAGTCAGAGTGGTGAAATAAACGACAGCAATTTTTACATTGAAATAAATTAATGAACTCGCTCGTAAAGGCTCGTTACAGAAACCGCCAGATATTATGGAAGACTGGTTTAATGTAGAAGTATATTACTATATTACCTTTTTATAGCCCTTAATTTTTAGTGCTAATCTACGCACGAAATTGGCCAGAAGTTTTTCACAACTACAAGGATACAACAGTATGAACCTGCGTTCTCCGGGATACGCGTCCGACGCTCTAGCCATTGAGCTAAACAGCTTATCTTCATACCGACAAATATCTCAACGTATTTTATCTACTTTGTTTTTTAAAACAATGTCGTCATTTTCCTTTCGACATGTTTGTTAATTTTTATATTAGTTTTTCTCTATTTCGTCTGGTGATGTTAAGCCAGGGTCTACACGCTCTGTTAACTTTTCGCCAAATCAGTTACATAGATTTAAATGTAAATATTTACAGATCGTTTTATCGGTAACCTCAAGTACGTGATATTGTAGGTATTCAAAATTCTTTTAAAATTGTCACTAAAGATCGCTTGTAGTTCCAGCTTAAAATACAAAGGTCAATTTCGCCCTGGCAATGCGTTCATACGTATAAACATGTACAGGCTACATACGAGAATATAATTTTTATCTTTACTCTTGTCTAAAAATAAACAAAGTCATTTAATCGATGTTCGTTATGAATTTATAACATAAACCAGAGAGATATACGAATAGCATAGGAACGAACAGTCTAATGAGGCCAATTTACCCTCTTCTTTACAAAAATATAACCTTTTTTTACTAAGGAAAAACAAAACTGACTTCAAATATCTCGCTCTGTATTCATGTTATAATTGATTTTCAGGAGTTCCCTAAGCATCTCCGGACGCCAAGATCCAATACCAATGAAATTAATATTAAAGACATTAAAGACATTTATTCCGTCACCTTAAAATAGTTGTACAGAACTTGATCAATAAAATTACAAAAATTAAAAACACAGAAATAAAAATGTTTACATAAAGAGAAAAAATATTACAAAAAAGAAAAATAAATGGGTAGTAAAGAATTATAAAAATATGGGACCACATGGGAAGCGCCAGCTTTCAAATAAAGAAAAAACATCAAAATCGGTTCATTCAGTCAAAAGTGACAAGAGGTAACAAACTTAAAAAAATACATTCGAATTGAGAACCTCCTCCTTTTGAAGTCTATTAAAAATGGCAAGAGCGGGTAGACTTTTAATTAGCTAGTGTTTACCATCTCTAAGAGTACATCACTGCTCACCATCTGGTGGGATGTTATTCATTTTCTTTAAAATTACCAGTTTTTGACTGAAAAACAAGGAAAACGGTAGCTCTTCGCTAGAGGGTATGAGTTAGATGCCCGCTAATGGGAAAATATTGTATGCAGAAAATAGTGTTTTTCATGTGTCTGGGTATATATCATTAATATGTATTTATTTACAAAACAAAAGTATGTTTAATGTGTTTATAAGTAACCTAGAGACCTAGTACCAACTTTAAACTTTGCTTAGGTTCGGACTAGATAACGTGTAAAAATTTGTTCAGAAATATTTATTTATTATTTATTAGCAACCAATTGGTCCAATAAATCTCCTGTTGCGAATTCCGTACTCATGTACGATACTAAACTTACGTACACATACATAGGTCCACGTAACAATTTTCGAAAAATTTTGATACATTTCTTTTTTTAAAAATTCAATAGCATCCGCAATTTTTCGACGAAATTCCAAACGCCGGTTTAACGCCACTGAGTACAGATAAAAAAAGCGCCAAACTAATGCGAATGTGTATAGATAAAAACGGTAACACCGGCTGTAACCTTGACCCGATCTTGGTCGTGCCCAGATTTCAGATATACAAAAGTACTCTGGTCGTGCCATCCGGGGCATGCGAGCGTCACGCGTGCATGATTTATTGCAACAGTCTAACGTACCCATTCATTTATCGTTTACATTAGACAACAATGTAAATGTCTAGACCGATCTTTATTGTAAACACCTTTTTTATTGTTGTTCAATTAATAGCTAACGTTAAGTAATACGTCAACACAGGTTTGTGAATTTCGTATTGGGAAACCACCTTTTTGTATAACTTTTGATTTAAAGAACTAATATTGATCCCGCTAAGAGCGAATTTGAAAGATTACGCGCTCTCAACTGCGCCACCGCGTCTAGTATGTTGTGAAGTTAACCTTAAGTTGAACAAAGGACTATTGAAGGGTAAATTTTATTGAAGAGCGGATCAAACTTTGCGGTCAAATGTAAGAAAACATGGTTTGGTTCCATAATACCAGTTTTCGATAGCGCACGAAATTTGCATTACTTTTTTTTTACAATAACGATAATGGAATAGCGACCGTTACTGGTTAATTTCCACAGTAAAATGCCGTAACCTATGATATCGATGTCACCTACTATGATCAACCATAACTATAAAGCAATCATAAACATTTAGATAAATCTTAAAGGAATATGAATGTGAACTTATGCCAAAAAAAACCAATCTTAGTTTTTGCTATAAATTTATACTCTTTTAAAATACTTCACAAGCTACGAGGTGATAATTTTTCCAATATGTACTTAAGTATCAATTTAAAGTTGTCAGACTTAAATGTAAAAAAAAATAAACGTTGTTATTGTAACAAAATAAGACGATCCTGGTTAAAAATTATGATCCATTACACGTATCAACTTCTATTTTATACGTATTCAATAATTTCACATAAGTTACGTTTAATAAAATATTTGCATACTTGGAAAAAAATTCCAGGTGGTCACGTGTGGCTTTATTGAACTTTACACTGTATTGACATGCGTTGAGCTCACATGTATTAATTACTTGTGAGGCATTTTATTTGTTGATAAGTGGAAGTTTATGTATTGAGCGTGATCACGGTTAAGTCTTCAGTCGAGTTCCTTACAAGTTCACTGTCAGAGCTCTACGAAATCAAGAATTGTTTTTTCACTAATTCCCTCCAATAATTTTGCTCCTATGCATCGAAAAAATAGTTGAAGGGAGAGTGCGAGGCGACATTTCGATCAATTTTTTCACAGTGTGACATTCGATCTCTTCGTGAATTGTTTTTTTAAGAATGGAATTTCTAACGCGGAAAGTCAAATCTGTCGCTAAGATTGACGTGTGTCAAATCAATGGCGAGAGCGATTCTCAAAAACATAAGCGGTAAGTTTCAACAACATTTTTATAATAGAGAACATCCTTGATTTATATTTCAATCAAAGAGAATATAAACACTACATTGACCTCAATCAGTGAATTTAATGCTTTTTAATCTTTATATAGAGAAATTAATCTTCCGTTTGTTTGTGTCCACAAAAACTAGCCGATGGATTGACTTGACATTTATTCACAACATAGCCATTGAACACTTTTCATTAAATTGTATTAAAAAAAGCCACAGCGAAGCGTGGTCGGGTCCAGCTAGTATTTTGTTATGTTCAAAGCTGCTTATTGACATTGAGTTTATAAAGTTCATCTTCCCACTACTTATTTGATCTCGTTGTGGGCTTTTATTTTTTGAATACAACAATAATAAAGTCAGAGCTTGAGCTAATGTACTATGGTTTAGTAATTTTTGTTAACAATAGTTTAAATAAACTTGCTTTTTTATGTGAAAAGTCATGAGAGCTGGCGGTGATCTGATGTGATTACCGCCGCCACCTGTAGGCGTGTGAATATCTACCACACCTGTAGGCTTGTAGATGTGTTGACAAACTTTAAAAAAGTGGGCCCCGGAACTACGGAAATTATAATAATTCCACTTCACGCTAATCTTTTGTGAGGCTATGTTTTTTCCCTATACCAATCTGCCCATTTGTGCAACATCTGCAAAGACACTGATCCGTACCACTTTTCATCATTCTTTAACAAAGCTATTTATATATTCGTCTACTATCTTTTATCTATTCTTTCTTTTCATAGCTCTCTCACGGTTGTTTCTGGATACCGTCTTATACGGAAGGCGGAAAGGCGATTCAAGTATTTGGTTAGAGATTGAAATACTTTTTATAGACCAATAAGGAAATGTCTACGGTTCGGTTTCCGTACCGGTTCTGATTGCAAAATCTAATTTGTCCGGTGCGATGAAGGTTTATGACTTCATTAATAAGAGTATTGCGACTGTTTTGTAGGTTATACTTAAATGAAACGTTAATTAAACTAGAAAAATAAAAATATAAGGAGACATCGCAAAAACTATTATTTAACTTGAAAAAGAATGAAAGGTCAAAAAATTAACTAATATGAACATCAAAAGCTCATTTGTACTTTATTTCTTATTTACCTTTTTACCTTGAAATGTTAATGTAGGACCATTTTATCAATATCTCAACTAATCATGAGACATTATAAATTCCATAATTATTCACTATAACCACGACTTGCGTTTAAACGTATCTTCCCCCCAACCCACTCAATAAATGCATGCACACTTATAAGCTACTTTCCGTTGTTTTTTAAACAATTTAATTAATTTTGTCAACAATGGTCACAGCATCAAATCACGTGTAAAGACGAAGAAATTAAACTTCCAAGAAACATCATTCTTACATGTTTCATGCTTTCTTTTCAGAAGTTGAAAAGAGAGTTTTTTAGATTTTCTTTTCGACGGAGTTCCGAGTTAACAAACAAAATAAATACAACTACATTGAAGACCTTCCCCTTTTTGAAGTAGGTTAAAAAGTATTTTTCGTTTCATTTGTTTAACTTAAAATTGTTTATCCTAAATAATTTAGCACTTATCACGCACGCACTTATCCGTCGAATGTTTTGGCTAATATAACATTAAGGTTGACATTATTTTTTGTTTTTGATCAACACGATAGTTATAAAAGGTCGTGTTATGGTTACCAAAGAATCAAATATTTACGAAGTGTCTTCACTTATCATAACATCTCAAATGTTTCACTCAAATGTTGTACATATTTCCCGGTGCCGGCACCAATGAAGTTTTTAACTTTCAAGTGCTGACTTATCACGTGCTCCGCGGTGAAGGAAAACATCGTGAGGAAACCTGCATATTTTCGAAATAATAACAAAAAAAAATATATTGCGAAGATCTGTGAACGCCAATTCGCAGTGGGGCCGCGTGGTGGACTATGCCCTGATACCTTCTGTATATAGGAGGCCTTTGCCCAGCAGGGGGACATGTATAGGCTGTTACTTTACGTTATTTTTCATGCCATAGCTAATTTTCAAAAAGTTACTAAACCAAATCCAAGTTTATCACAAATAACAGGTTACAATGTCCACCAATACTTGCTTTTATAGATAGAGGAACATCACAAACGACCAGCGTTATATAGAAGTATATAATGTTATGGATAGCTTCTACGGTACAGTAGGTACCATACATATATATATATATCTGTTCCACTCAATATATCTGTTCCATTTCTGGACAAAAGCCTCCTCTGTACAGAGGGTACTAGGGCGTAGTCCACGCGACCACACCGCGCATTGTGCGCATTTTTTCAGTATTATTACGAAAACTCACAGGTTTCCTAATGATGTATTCCTTCACAGTTGAGCACAAGACGAGTCGACACTTAAAATTTAAATTAACATGTTTAATTGATACTGACACCAAGATTTGAACTCTGGTCGCTCGGATATATTGAATTAGTAGAGAGTGCCCGGGCACTGAGTAATCACGATCTGACGGATTCGATGTAAATATTTCTTAAATGAAATAAATATAAATATATCCTCAAACTTTCCAATTTATCGTCTTTAGGGATGCAATATCGATATTTTTACTCAGAAATAAAAATCGCTGATATAAACTACAAATATTTTTGTCGTCTACATACAAATTTACTGCTTAAAAGTAAACTGAAACTTACGTTTAGGCCGTCTGTAACTCAGATTGAATAATTAAATCGAAAATCAACGCGGAAGTCGCGGGCAACTATTAAAAAGTAATGTTCTTTAAGCTGTCAAGATTTGTATCAGCGACATCTAACGGTATTACCATGAATCTGTTATGTATCAAGAAGAGGTCGCTTTTCAGTAAGATCTTTACATTTGAGCTTTTTATTTATACTATTTTATCCAAAAATTTTATATACCTAGTTAGTATATTATTTTAAATAGACTCGATCGTATTCGGACGCGCTTTGCAGTTCTAGCCCATGAATCTTTGATTAGGTATATACTTGTACAAGTATAAACGTAATCAAAGCCATGAAATTCACTAAATCTTACGTTCGAGCCACGGACACTTCTTCCTACTTTTCCCATCGATATAAGTTGAATAAATGTCACATTAGCTAATATTTATCGATAAAATTTATACTACTCGCGTTTTATTAAAATAAAACACAAACGTAGTATTCGCGTAAATACAGTTAATCATGAAGATCGACATCTGTTTTTTCCGTGCATTCCGATACTATAGTTATTTAAAATGATGATGAAGCAATCAATTGTAATTTTGTTTAGGAGGACTAAACGGGTTGGTCTACCATAGTAGATACTGCCAACGTTATTACGAGTAAGAGTTCGTCGTTTATACACAGAAAATAGTAAAAAAGTTAACTAATTATGTAAGAATTTCTAGGGGCCCGCAAATATACTGTGGCTCCCCAAGGTCAAACGGACAAATCTATCGCATTGGTCATTCATCAAGTAGACAATATTTTCATAATAATTGATGCTTCAGTTATAATATTACTATAAACAGTAAGTAACGAAAGTGATAAGCATTCAAAAACATTTTAATTTACATATTTTAAATTGGTAACAAACATCTTACAAGGCCTCCTTACTTTTATAGTAATTGCGCCATCGACTGAAATTAATCAGACAGGACCAAAATGTGAAGAAAACTCTTTTAATATGTTGTGTTCTACGAGTATGTATGGTTTCCGCGACTTTCCCGTTATATTACAAAATGAAGAATAAAAAACGATACAAAAAATGCTTTTTAGCTAATTGAATCTAGTCTGTTACCCTATCACAGACATTAAGTTATAGCCTTGATAAATTTTCATAAAATCGCTTTCCTTGGTCTCCAGTCTAACCACTTCAAAGGCAACAATGAACACAATTATTTTCTACAATGTTTTGAGATAGAAAATAAAAATATTAGTTTAAAAAAAATAAGATTCTTGAACACAATGCCATGTGGCATGTCTATTGCAATTTATGAAAACGTACTTGAAACATTATTGCGAAACCACGATGCGACTACAAATAAAATTTATGATTGCTTTTTCGAAAATCACAAAATTTTTGTTAACTTATAGTATTATATAGTTATATCATACAATGCTTAAATTCAATGTTATTGGCATTTGACAGCGTCCTTACTTTTTACTAATAAAATTAAAAAAACAAGTTAATGAGCTTTAGAACAAGTAGTAGTCATTTGATAATGTTATAAAAGGATACCTGTAGTAGAGGGACAATATCTACTGTCCATTAAGATAAAATTGAAGAGTGATACAATAGGCTAGTAAAAATAGAATATGACTTCACACTTAATCACGGATCCAATTTTTGTTTTATATCTGGTTTATGATCACTTACCGTTTATAAAATAGTGTCAGATTAATTGGAGCTTAAGATACAATCTTGAAATCATGGTTTTGGACGATATCTCGGAAACTATGCACATTAGGGCCAAAGTCATAGAAAATTATTGTAGGAAATCAATTATTAAAATTTTGGACTGCACCAGCAGACTCCACGATATTCCAGCATCAAACGACCATTAGCTCAAAAGTATGGACATTAGAAAAAAAAATTTAGAAATTAACGTCGTGAAGAATAGATTGATCTTTAAAAATGGATAAACCATTTTTATTATTAATACATTATTATAAGAGTTATCGGTCGAAATAGAAAAACGTGTTCATTACAAAAGGCCAGCGTAAGCGGTAAATTTTACAAATAAAGTATAAAGTTCGGCCGGAATCGGAAATGTGATTTTATACACAGTGAGTGATCGTAAACCTGATTTATAACAAATATTGCATCGGCCGTTTAGTGCGAGTTTGACCAAAAAACATCTTGTTTTTACTGGCCCACGAACTGTAAAGGGAGAGTGCATTAGTATAAAAGTTAATCAGGTAGGATATTTGTTTACGGACCGCTTAAACACAATTATAGTATTTATTTATGCTGTAAATATTGTTGTACTTTACAACAAAGCCAATTAAAATCTTTCGCCGACCCACACAGATAAATCAAAAGTATGGATGACCTGAAAATAGTTTTCAGTCGACTTATTCTATATTTTATTCCCGAACACGAGAGGAAAAATAGAGAACTTATATTTTACAATAGATTGTGTAAACAGACTAAGTATATGTTATCATTGATAGTAATTATCTACACCACACAATGGAACAGATTTTCCGGATGCGAGGCCATCGACCCAGCGCCATCTGTTATCGTGCGGGCGAAACCGCAACCCGCGGTTCGTATCTGTGCCGCGCTGAAAAATTTTCCTGTTTTCCCAGGAGCGAGTCCGCGATGAGTCCAGCGCCCCCCGCGCTGCAGAACAAAAGCAGCACTCAGCTCTGCGTTGGCAATCAGTCGCACTCTGTCTGCGGAAGCAAGTGTACGCCCGTTGATTTAGAAATGGAGCGCGATCGCATCGGAATGTGGGGAAGTGGGGACGGTCCGTCAACGGGCAAGATCTCCGGTCTCGACCGGCTTAAGCATCCCGGTCTCAACAAGGTGAGTGTGGTCCTTGCAAACTTGCTACAGCCGATCGTTACTCGCACGGTGTTTGCGTATCGCGGTTGAACGCGATATACGAACGCGTACTTTACAGTACCCCGATTTGAATCAGCTGATCAGTTTGGATCAAACATTGGCGAATTACACGTCAAACGTTTGGATATGTTTTTTTTGAGTTGCACTACATTGTCGACCAATTACAATGCTTTTATTTGTATGCCAACAGAACTTAATTATTGCCTACCTGTTATTAAGACACTAATTTTTTCAAGGTTGTGTTCTGTGAATTAAACATAACTTCCGCATTGACCTTAAACTATCGTAAAGGAGCGAAGTACCGGAAGTATGTTTCAATGTCGATAAAGTGAAAATATTTGCTTCGTTACATTGCAATATTATATTTACGATAGTTACATACACCGGTTCAATATTTTTTACATTGACGTCATAATAATGAATTCGATTTGTCCCATCATAAACTCGTGCTCAAACGAAAGTTGACTGTTTGAATAGAAATCAATACACGCGTTTACTACACCCATGTTAGTTAAAGTAAAGGGTACCTTTGTTTGTAGCCATATGAACCTAGGGTACGATAGAGAATAGAGAGGGTCGCATTACTCGAGACAGTCAATAACTTCGCCCCATGGGGATTTTCTTTTAGGGCCCTAGCGTTTCAGCACAATTCTTAACGGGTTATTTAACTTTAATGAATGTATCATAAGGTTTTTTTACTTTCACGTTATGTTATTTCCATTAATATTAACTCATGTTTAAATTATATTATTTATTGGATGGAAGTAATTCTAATATTATTACTTAGAATATGATAATTATAATAACTGTTTGTGATTATAGCTTCAAAATTATTTCAAATGATAGGATTTTTAATTTTAAATCAAAATGTTCATACACTCTATGAATAATGTCTGATAAAGTCCGATGTACTGTTCCGACTCCATTCTGTGCACTTTGTTGCGGCCACCTCATATATTTACCGCCCTACAATGGTAAGCCCATAGGCGAAAGCTTATTCAATGCCTATGGGCCTTCAATTTCGTGTCTTATGCTCAATTAAACCTCAATAAATTAGAGAATCTATGTAAGGGGTTCACCGTACTTGCATATTATTGAAATGCATAAATTTACTTAATTCAAAATCAAAGTCAGTCAAATATCTTTATTCAATATAGAAGCATTCACTTACTTATTGATAGTCAAAAAACTCTGCCACTGGTTCGGAAGGAAAGCCACTGACCTGAGAGGAACCGGCGTAAGAAACTCAGCGGGACATTTATTTTTTATTTTTTTTTTTAACTTGACAAAAATGTTACAAATATGTGTACAATTTATTAAATCAATTCATTTCCAGACTGTGTTATCATTCAAATAATCACTAATTCTATAATTGCCATTAACACACAAACGTTTCTTTACAAGTTTTTTGAATTTTGCAACGGATTCATTTTTAATTTTCATCTGGGATTTTGTTGTAAAAGCGTACACATTGTCCCATAAAAGATTTACTTATTCTACGCAATCTAGTTGAGGGTAGAACTAATTTATGCTTGTTCCTAGTATTTACATCGTGCACATTACTAAATCTTGTAAAGTCATTCTTATTTTTGTGGACATACATAACATTAGCAAGTATGTACTGAGAATTATATTTTCAATGTCACAAGAGTCGTGAAGCATATGTATCACAAGGCACACGAAACGACATGTGCTTTTACTTTGTTATAACCTATAGTCCTATAGCAACAGTTTCGGAATTGGGTCTCATATGCATAAGCAACAATACCTTGTCGTTCATTAAATGAATTTCAATTTATGCCGAGCTGATTATGATTAGCGTAAGTTAGTGTCACATGAATGAAGACAAAGAGCTAAACACACGACGAAGAACTAAAAAGCCATTGGAAGTTTTTGTTGATGTTTCACAACACTTTTAAGGGTCGCAAACGCCTCTGCAACCCTCGAGATATTGTAGACGATCAACGTCAACTTTTCAAAAAATATATTTGCATGTATAGACGACGGTTATATTGATAATTAAAAAGACGGTAATTTGTTTACCATTAAATTCGTAGTTATATTTAATTGTATAATAATGGACTTCAAAGGAATTCTTTTCATAATTAATTTGATGTTTAGGTGCCAAATGTTAATATAACATAACCAACATAATGCTTAAATACAAAATTAAAAGTCATTACTTGTTATTGTCCTTAGAATCTTTTAGTTTTCGATTGTGTGGATATTTTTTTTTTAAGTTTATGGCGTATTTAATTTTAATGTTAGAAGTAAAGTATACTTAAACAAAAGATATATAAAAATCTCAAAACCCGTAGGATTACAAATATTTTGTCATCCCCTACCTGGAGCCCACCTATTAATAAGGTGGGGTCCAGTTACCTCAGTCAGCAGACGAAACGTATAAAACATCCACTTACGCCGCTCTTCTATGAGGTACTTTCCCACACAGACCTGCCCATTCGTGCAACTACCAAGACCGTTCCGTAGCCCACAGTTATATATGTAGTTAAAACTAAGTTGATAGATGTAGTATATAACGATATCCTTCGAAAGGAATTTAAGTGATTAGCACTTCGCCCGCGGCTTCGTCCGCGAAAATTGTGATAGTTCGGCTAATTTGCATGATATAAATATATATTATTTCACCCGCGTAGATCCCATTCCGTGAGAATACTGGATTAAAATATATTATTTGTAGGCTTCGTTTTTAATTATGCTTATTTGTAAGCAAACATGAGTACCTACTACAAATGTTACGAGAAAATTTTCTATATCGTTAATAGTTTTCGCAACGCACCCAAAATTATTTCTTTTTATAGGTAACGTTATGAAATTTGCTATTTTGACCGCATCACGATTTGTTTCGTTAACAAGATAACAGATAAAATTATTGTCATGTTTGAATTAGGAACGGTAAATAATGTGTGCAAAATGTTGATAAGATGTTTTTTGATACAAACGTTATCAGATGAGAAATCAAAGTTTAGTTATTTTAACAAGGACGAAAATAACGCTTGGTAAATTTTATGTTGTTTAAAGAATATTCCAAGAAAAATTTCTTTGCAAAACTATTATATTAGATAACTTTTCTGATTTTGATTGATTTGATTCGTTTTTAGTTTAGAAGCAAAAAAGAAAAATTGGGTTTTTGTAATTTTTTTGTCAACTCGTACTGATAACCACATATTGTAAATAGAAGTATTTTTTTTTTAAATGGAATTTGTAACAAAAAATACTATGTCGTTTTATATTATATATGGTTTTTATATATATTTTTTTTATATGGCTTTTATATTTTATTTAAATTTTTTTTTGATAGATTCATTAAAAATGTCACATTTATAAAGTTATCGGTGCTAGCTTCTTCTATTATGTATGAATACTACGACAAGAATTAAAAAATTGTTTTGAAAATGCAACATAATTTTAAACTCAATGTTTATAGACGTATACGCACTTTCACTTTGCAAATGCCATTTTTAAACACTGGAAAAAGACCTAGCCTTGTCACAGTAACTTTAATATTTTAATAAAATTTTCCCAATTCCATGCAGGGAGTCCTCCTGCAATTTTAAACTTTATATTTATTTTAATAAAGTTTTAAATATGACAGATGAGCATTTTACATTACATTTTAATTAGTCTAGTCGTATCTTTTCAAAACTAACCAACCCAATAAGGCTGGATTTTTTAACTTCCTATTTTCTTTTTATCCATGCCAAATAAGCTCGCAAATTACTTGAACATACACAAAAAAAATTACCTAAGTAAAATCTTTTGTTTCATGATTTTGTTTTCTGTCGCGTCATCGTGCGTTTTCATATAACCTCAACTCATTCGTCTCTACCTTTGCGTATCTATCGACGTTTACGCAATAACACCGCGGAAACTATGCAACGATCGCAAGCCACCCTAAAACGATTCGATATTTCACCAAACAACGTTCCTATTGACGCGCGTAAAAAAAACAACACCGGCACAAAGCATTGTTTCTCTCTGAAAGCTGTTCGACCAACATGGCCCTCCATTTTTATTTCGAATCACAAAGTCGTTTAAGTATTCATTTTTTGTTTTCTCTAACAAACAACCTTTGTCCTATGCTGGGTATCTAGAAGAGATTCATCACCTAGATACTTTAACTATTTTAATTTTCTATCTCCGAACGTATAAGGGACACGCATAGACTACTGAGCCGCGCGAAAATTTCACATCTCTTTCGCTTAACATTTCATCACTCTCTCGCTCAACTGACCATTAAAATAAAGGCCGTCCGTTTAACTAATGGACACTGGAGTACCCTTAAAACGGTAGAGCGATATTTCAGGTCATTGTTAGCGGGTCATTAGATCATTCCGCGCTGTTACGACATTCGTACGAGTAGCGGCATAAACCGAGTTCAGTGACAGCAGTATGTTACGTAATGGGGCGGCCACGCTATATCGTGTCCGCGGCCGGTAATTCATGTGTTATTAATGCGTCCATGAATACGTTAACGGACGGACAATGCGTTGGCAATACCGGTTATGTCATTAAAAGTAAACGTTTGCCTTTTAGCGGGATGACGTCGTTGCGGGATATTGTACGGCGTTAATAAAAAGTGAGGTTACTGTTTTAAAAGGAACACGTTTGTTTATCACAGTTCGTTCGAGATAGTTTATCTATTAATACCTGTCGAGTCAACAACAAGGGTTAAAACGTTGCAATTATCGCAAATTCACCTCTATTAAGTAGAAAGATATGTTTGTATGCTTGTTATCGCTAGATTGGTATATACAGGGAGATTTTTTGAGAAGTGCCACAAATTTACACAGGAGGTTCAGACTCGGTAGTATAATGTTTTATTGAAAAAAAAAAAAACAGTTTTTTTCCAAAAAAATGCCATTCCCCTAAAAAACAGAACGTATTGCCAATGCGTTAGTCATTCATAAATACCTAAATTTTATTGTGCGCGAACTTGT